TTACCATTTTAGTGTCAATACCCGACGTAACCGATAAAGCATGAATTCTGAGTATTATTAGCATAAATGAAGTGTTATATATTCCATTCTTATTACGTGTTTTCACCAAGCATTCGATTTGTAGCTTGAAGAACGTAGATTATTCTCCTGTCATTAAAAATAACAATAAACAACCAGAACACTGTTAAAATCGCATTTAATCGCGGAATACCACAACTTTTTTGACCGGTGGCGCCATCCGTGGCGAATAACTGAAACTGCTGGCCAATTATATGGCTACCAGTTTCAGCGGTTCGCCACGGATGGCGCCACCGGTCAAACAAATAGTGGTACTCCGCGATTAAATGCGATTTTAACAGTGTTCTGGTCGTTTATTGTTATAGTCAATGGCAGGTCATTAATCTACGTTCTTTCAGCTACAAATAGTGTGCTTTATCTAGACGAAAGCTATCCGTATAACGGTGTAACAGCTGTCTAAAGTGAACTTAACGGGGTACGCATGACGAGATACAGTGTCAACCGTTGCAAATAAATGTGATTTTAACAATGTTCTTGCAATTACTGGTTCCCAGCCGTTAAGAGAGTATTATTCTACGTTCTCGGATTGACCACTAAATGGAATCCACATGTTTGTGAAATACATAACACTTTTACTACAAAAAGTTTATTACTCATCACGTGTTCATTTCGCCAATTTCTGGCGGGCACATATGTAGTTCGTCTGTTCTTCGCTAGATGACGTCACTAGAACGCCTAGAATCAAGAATGAACCTTTACAAAGTCTATCCTTGTCGCACATACGGCGTCCATATATCTCCCTGTTTCTCTGATACTTCTTCGGTTATCATGCTTTCATAGTACTTACCAGGAAATTATCAAACGGTTTTGAAAGTTGGTGGCACGCGGAATACTATCTCTATCCTAGTTCCACAGTAGGGTACTTCTTGTCCCACGGATCACTTGCAACCTCTTCGGTTATTCTGTGTGCCTAATACCAGGAGACGAAAAACAGCAGAGTTCGCGGCCAAAGTGTGGAATCTCGGAAATTTGTTTATCCTTGTCGCACATACGGCGCTCGTATATCGCTCTCTTCTTCCGATACCTCTTCGGTCATCATGCTTTCATAGTACGTACCAGGAGATTATGAAACGGTTTTGAAAGTTGGTGGCACGCGGAATACTATCTCTATCCTACTTCCACAGTTGGTGCTCCTTGTCTCACGGACCACTCGCAACCTCCTCGGTTATTCTGTGTTCCTAATACCAGGAGGCGTAAAACAGCAGAGTTCGCGGCTGAAACAAGGACTCTCGGTATATTGTCTATCCTTATCGCACTTACGGCGTCCGTATATCGCCCTCTTTCTCTGATACCTCTTCGGTCATCATGCTTTCATAGTACGTACCAGGAGATTATGAAACGGTTTTGAAAGTTGGTGGCACGCGGAATTCTAACTCTATCCTGCTTCCACAGTTGGTGCTCTTTGTCTTACGCATTACAAATATTACGATTATTATGGAACGAACACCTCGAAAAATTGTTATTATGTTAACATAATCCAGTTGATGTTTATTATTCAAAACTCGATAAAGGTTCATTCTTGACTTTCCAATCAGGAAGAAACGTCAGTTAAAAGCGAACATTTAATGAATTTTTAAATAATGACTGCATTGTCTCATCAAGCGGCAACATTAAAATCTGTTACAGTTTACAGTACGTTACATGATAAAAAAAAACTTAATATTCCATTCTGACAGGGAAGTCATTTGAGGCATACGATTGGTCTTTTTTATTAGAAAATTTATTCATTTAAAAAGCAATATCTTAAAAAAGAGAACGACAGACTACAATAGAAAGTTCTGATGTATGATTTACAAATATACAATGACAGTCTTAACAAGTAGGTCGCTTAACAACATGTTGTTTTATTTCGTGAGGTAATATCCTGGCATTAACGTTAAAATACACCCTTCGGTCTCTTGCATTCGACAGCAAAGAATTCCACACTTGATCCTTCTGTAATAAAGCAAATTTTTGTACAAATATGTACATTAATCAGTGCAAAATCTTATGTGTCTTCTTAAAGAATGTTTGTTATTATTATTATTATTATCTTACATTAAAGACACTGAAGTTACCACAGATAATCAGACTGTACTTTGCTCTTGTAAGGGCGACACAAAGCCGTTGCTTGTCAGACAAAAATCCGATTTTGAGACTTCGAACACAAGACATGATAATAACATCACGTTCTTGTCCTTGAAAACCATCGACCGTATTTACTTCGAATTTCATCTTCCTTCTAAGCTTTTCAGGCAATGTCAACATTCTGGAATTATGAGTATTAAGAAACATTAGGTACTACTAATAAATAAAGTCATAGAACAGAAAGTCCTAACCCGGACTTACCTATCGATAATTTTTTTATGTATTATAAATTTTTGATTATTGTAGGGTGTAAGAATCCCGAACGAAATGCGTTCCCAGTTGTCTAAATTGGTATACGTCAACATAGAGAATATCATGTTAGCTATGAACTGCGCCTCATCGGTATTTGAATAGTTGTCATCGTTTTGACTTGTATTAAGATGCAGAATTCTATAAGAGTGAAATGGAAATTCTACGGTGCGCGGTATGTTGGTTTTCAGTTTTCCAGCGTAAAAGAATTTATTCGGCCACGAGCAAATATCATGCTGCATCCTGTATTGAGTGTCCAGCATGATTATTGGATTATTTGGATGTAATTCAAAAGCATTCTGAACCCGTGAAAAAATTGACTGGCCCCACCCTAATTTCTTTGCCTGGGGACTTAGTGTTGTGGCGGGTAACTGATTTGGATCACCGACTAAAACTAACGTGTTCACGCCCAACATTAATGGTATCAGAGTTTCGGCTTCACAGCTTTGAGCAGCTTCGTCCACGATGCATACGGATATTCCTGTGTTATTGGTGGCGAAAAGTGACTTCATTAGCTTGTCGTAACACGACGAGAGAGTACACGTTATAATATCCGCATGCGATAGAATTCGATTTTCCCCTGACCGTAGCATTCTTTTGTACTCTTTCGGATTCATTTCGTTCAACGGTGTACGATTTTTCAGTAGTTCATACTTTGTAGCCAGATCAGCCAATTTCATTCTGATGTTTCTATTATAAATTTCATCCATATTTTGGGTATTCGCGAGCTTACATTTCAGAGCGTTTATTTTTGATTCTAAAAGGGATTTTTCTTGCTCCACGCTTTCAAGTGGTGTATTTATGGAGGTGCTCGTTACTTGTTTCATATCTCGCTTTGCAAGTTCAGTTACAGAAATTTCCTTGACAACTGGATGCATCACTTCCGATTGACCGATTCGTACCATCTTGAACCTCTTTTGCGCCATAGATGATCTAATCTGCAATAATCTCATAGTAATTGCATCAATGGCTGCGTTCGACGGAGCGCATACTAAAATCTTCAAAGCACCTCCACTGCTGGCATACCTGTTGTTTCCATATAATACTTGCATTACAATATTTACAATAACTGTCGATTTCCCGGTACCTGGTGGGCCCTGAATGAAGCACAGCTTCGCCTGTTTTTGTACAATAACGTCGGTCACTTTGCACACAGCTTCCAACTGTTTCTGATTCAATTTATCCTTAGTGATTAATTGCTGTGTCGTGGATATGCTAGGCAAATAGTACTGTTCGATTTTTGGACTTAAAATCATGCTCATCAACGGTGATTTCGGGAAATTCTGCAGACCCTGTACCAACCGTAAGATAGGGCGTAAACGAGTGACGCTCCTCAATCGCTGAACTCGATTTACCAATATATTCGGTTGAAGAGGTTTCGTCAACATGGTATACGTTAATAAGGCATACGGTTTGTTTACATAATGCGCTAAATCCTTATTATAATGAGTCCAAGGTGTTAATATCGTCTCATGAACACTATCCACATATGCAAATACTTTATGAAATGTTTGTCCCTTCTCTTGATTCCTAACATACTCGAAGAATACTAGATTCCCGTACTGAGGGTTAGCTTTTCTCTGAACATCTTCTTTCGTAGCCAACACTTCGAGCATCAACGTAGTGAAACATACATTCGGGGAAACCATACTGGTGTGAATAGAATTCGCAATAATGGAACACATCTGTGTGGGTCGTCTGCAACGCTGATCGATGTTCAAGAAGTCTTTGGTTATCCTATACCAAGTTTCCAGCATAAGAAGAGGTGTAAGGACTCTGCAGTACTCTTCGTACGACTTGTAACGCGTTAACATGACGTGAAGTTCATCGTCTCGGACAACAGGTGGTGTAGTCTTAAAATGCTCCTGTTCTTCCAACCAAATCGGTTTCCATGCAAAAATACGCAACAAGAACTCGTTTGTCTTTTCGTTTGTTGTTACGACATCGTTAGATTTGTTAGGGATAGGCGCATCTTTCCCTGCGAGTTTCTTCATAACATTTGATTCGTCAATTTCATATTCCCGTACAGTTTCGATATTTGCGGAGAAAGATACGCGCTTTTTTGGTTTTTTACGTGGTGACTTCGCTACCGACGACGCAGAAGACAAAGCAGATCGGTTTCCACTAGACAGAGTTGATTGTGTGTTTGATTTATTTTTTACTTCTGCTTTCTTTGTACCGATGTTCGTTGGTTCTTTCAATCTTTTTGCTAACGAAACATTTTCCAAAGCGTCTGGATTTGTAGTAGTGATTGTAAATTTAGTCGCATTACTCTTTTTGGGGATTTTCCCGAGACCAGCAAGACTTGATAAATTTGGCGCACGCGTTGCAAATTCTTTAGACGCGACCTTGCTTGTCGTACCATCGAGTTTAGGAATCGGCAAAGTATTATTTGTCGTTGTAGACCGATTAGATGGTCTCAATTTTTCTTTCGTTTCCTCCGATTTCGATAAAGAAATTGTATCTTCCACGAGCAAGTCGTTTCGTGATTTTACGGACACTTTTGCCTTCGGCTTGCTAGCAATACGTTTCTTCTCTTGAGTATTGTCCAGAGATGATCGCTTCTTTTCCATGGCAATTTTCTTTAATTTCAACTTTCTGTCTTGCGCCAATGCTTTCTTATCTTCTTTCGTAAGCGGAGTACTAGTCTTCTTTTTATTTGACGGAAGGCAATCGGCGGCCCATTTATTAAGTACTTTCCGGTTCTTCTGCTCTTTCGCACGCTCATATTCTTCCATCTTAGCTTTCTCTTTCAATTCTTTCTTTTCATTGGCAGTCAGTCTTTGCTTAGTAGATTTTTCGGAAACTTCTTTTGTTCTGTTTGTACTAGCGCTTCGTCTTCTACTAGGTAAGTGCTGTGGTTCAATTTGTGGTACTCTTTTCTCAAGCGATTTTCTCCTTGAAGTTTTCATAGTTTCTGCTACACCACTTGGGTAAGTATCACGATTCTCGATCTCTTGCTTTTTAAAACTTGAATCCTTGGTTTTAAGTGACTCATAAAATTTCTTACTTGTAACTGGACTGTCGCTAGAGAGCTCCATTGAGTTTGCACTACGATCTATAGAACGAACATTCATTCTTTCTATACTAACACTCAACGAATACATTTCGATAGTATTCCTCGCATCTTGCAAAGATGCTTCTCTTTGCTCTTCTTCTTCCTCATTTACAAACTTCTCTGTCTGTTTTCTCTTCTCCTCTTGAACTCTTTCTTTTGTGCTTGATTCGGACTTATCGACAGACTTATTGGAAGTAGAAATAGGATTTTCGATATCAACAATTGCTACATCCATGTTTTCTTCTTGCTTGTTTTGGTGTTCCGTTTCGGTTTTAATTTTATCTTCATTAAGTATTTGACTACGAGATAATCTGCGTAACCAATTGTCATCTTCGTCTTCGCTATCAGACAGCGAAATAACCAAGTCTTCGTCGCCAAGCATGCTGAATCTTTCGTTTTCCATATCTGCGGTTTCTTCTTTGACTTCCTGTTTAATCGATGTATTCATACCAAAGCCAATATCGAATAATTGAGAACACGGAAAAACATCATCCTCGCTGTCGCTTAAATTTATAACGTCCTCTTCCGAAAACTTTGTCTTCGGCTCTTGTTGTACCTGCTTTAATTTGATCGGAGATACGAGTGGCATCGGAATTCCGCCCATGGAATTCCAAATAGCATCTTCGTCTGTATCTGTTAATTGTAATTCTTCTTCCATTTTTATTACGGAATCTCCAGTATGTACAAAATTTGTAGGTAAACTTGATAATGTTTTCCCGGTATTATTTTCAACCATCGACTGTTCCACATTAAGTTGCTTTGTATTTGAATTGCCAGAAGTTTCAACATCATTCTTCAAACTTGCTCTGGAGTCAGAGTTTATATTTTCTGTGCTTGACATTTTCGCGTTACTACTTTCCATTTTATTGTCAGACTGAATATTACGACAATTAGGATTATTTACCATATTTTCCTTATTTTTATTATTCAACAGACTATTTTCCATACATTTCTGTACATTTTGAACCGTGTTCTTGCTTGACCGTTCCAGATGCTTACAATCAATAGCTGCATCTTTTTCTTCCCTATCACTATCATTCGCATTACTCGATACAAGTGACTTTGAATTCTTGGGACATAGAAATTCATTGAATTGTATTTTACAATCTTTTGACAAGTCACACTTTTTCTTATTTTTCACGCTATTATTTACATCCAACATATCACAATCTGTATGTTTGCTTGCAATCGAGTGATTACTTAATCTGGTAGTTTTTGCACTGGTGCAACAATTACTACTACTTTGCTCCAATATACTATTATTCAATGAAACGTGAACTATTTCAATGTCGTTATCATCAATTACTTTACTGTCCTCTAAAATGTAAGCATTCAGTTTATCAGTGAACATTTAATGCACTTGCTTTGCTAAGAAACAAGAAAGATGAATTTACCATTTAAAGATTCTTCTAAACGAACTTTCGAATTGTCTTCCAGTTTAGGTATTTTATTTGGTACAACTTTTGTGTCACAATTTCTCATGTCCCTCTTACGTTTTAATATAGGATCGGATTTATCATCAGCGGTACATTTTTTAGATGCATTTGTATGATTTAAAACTGTTTCTGAAAGGGCACTGGCATTGTGATTGCTATCCACTGTACGTGACTTCTGAAACTGTAATAATACAAAGGACAATAAGCAATCATTCCAACAGAAACAGCTGTAACTACAGAAAATAAATTTTACCTCAATAATATGCAATTTGTATACAAACATACTATGTTCCTTAGCATTAAGATCCGGACAACCCACTCCGATGATATCATTGTGGTTTAATTTTGTTGTCTGATATGGCTCTTGAGCAACTCCATTTATGAACAAGCCATTCGCACTCTGAAAAGTTAATATACCATTGAAAGTGACCATTGCTATTATCCATTAGTAGTACAAACAACAACAACAACATTATTATACCTTTAGATCTGTAACATATATTTCATTTTTGCCATGGAAAAACATACAATGACGTCGAGATACTGTCAGACCAAGACATACTATTTCATTATCTTTAGCTCTGCCACAAGTATACTGAAAGTAAGTCATTTTAAGTAAATGAAATATCTGTGATCAGAGTTGGGCACAGTTTTATTCGTGTCATCTTGAACTTTAAACAGTTAATGAGATTAAATAACTGTTCGTTAAGTCTCGACTTATTCGAGAAGTAGTATTTTATTAGAAAAATTGGAATTTCTACGTTTAATCAATTAAACATGGCAAGGTACTTTTTGATTTTTTGTTTGTTATTCGAAATGCTTTATCTACTCATTTTCGATTATTTCATCTATAAACGAATGTCGCCACAACATTCTGTACTGTGCTATTACATAAAAACTGGGAGGATGGGAAAAACGATAGGAAGATATATACACATAATACACAGGAAATGTGGACCACAGCTTCTCTCGATAAAAGTTCAAATCATAAACAATAGTACACGTACTGTATGATAGGGTTTATTAAGGATGATCGTGTCATTTATGTTAATCCGTTCCAATACAAATTGGCAATGATCATTCGCGTCCATTTTCCTTTAAGTCTTTAAGTAATCGACTGTGTTTATAGGTCCACGATCTGCCTTTGTTAACCTATTCGGCTACTCCAAAAGCATTTCACGGCGATTTTTATCGACAACCTTTGATATACACGAACTTCGAGGGAAATCAGTTTAAATACGGCTCGATAATTTTCCTTCTTGATGAAACCAACATTTTGCCTTTTAAACGAACAAACACGTTCCAAAGCATTCGGAAAAATTAAACTGAACGGATGACTTGTTGACGTTTACCATAATTCACTGTTGAAACAACTTAAAATTGCACACCGGCTGCGAAATTCAGTGTTCGATCGAGAACAGAAACAAGCTCGTAGCCATCTACCGGTGACAGATATAAAAGAAAAGTCCCTGGATACACGCAACACGCTATACTTGTGCGTCAAACGTGACTCTACTTTCTAAGGGCTCAGTGTAGAGTGTAACACGGTACGTATGTATGTATGTAAGTATGAACATAATACGCATTAACATGTCAGTCTAGTAAAGTAGTCTTCTTTCCAAAAGGTTCACGTTGTCATACATATATCGTAATCTCATTAAAAGCGTTCGAAGTGAGGGACCTTCGAGGTTCCCAGGTGATATGCGATAATTTAATGCACATGAAGGGCCGAATTATCGGTTGGAAGTGCAACGAAATATCTTCTCTTTTTATGCTTTCGAGGACCATGAACTGGCCAAGATTGCGAAAGAAGGACGACCAGTTCGAACGTGATTCGTGGCGGGCCGTTTACCTTCGGTTTCAATGACGAGGAAGGGAGAACACGAACGGCAGAAGGAGGCCGCTAATGAAAAAGCAAAAACAATAATTGACTGTCCTACATGATAAACCCCTCCCTCCTAACGGCTCGATAGATTGCGGGGATTTACATCGCAATTAATTGATCACAATGACTCGGTCGTTCGAAATATACATTATGTATGTGCGTGTGATCGATAGATTCGCAACAGGACGATCGTATTTTCTTTTCGTTTCTCTCGTTAAAGGACGAAGGAGGGTTGGTAAAACTTACAAACTTCCGATAAATATACGAACCTTAATAATTAATAATCATACGTTCTTAATCGGGTCCATCTTGAGCTCCTCTGCTCCTCTTTCAGAATCCACTACGAACGTTACAACCGACACAAGATTAACGATTTCGTTTCTTCTTGTGCTGGTCGTATTTCTCCTTCTGTGTTTGAGTGTTTGTGATTTCAAGTACTCAATTCTTATGTGGCGACAACCGATTACGGCGAAGACTTATTGTCGTTTTCACTCGGATTTTGCTACACACGAATGCGAATTGCTTCACGATACTCTATTTATATCGAATAGAGTTCGGAATATTCACAGCACAACATAATTGTTAAATTACTCGTTGGATCATCATAAAATACGGCAATCGTGTAATTCGACTCGTATCAATTTGTAAGAACTACATGAACTTAACGCAATGTGTATTACGAACATTTCAATAATTTAACAGGAAACCAGTCGTGTTCGTATTTCGTATCGGAGCTCGATTCCAGGGTTTCTTTTTTTGCAGACCTGTTTCACGACGCGAAGTAAGTACGAAAAGTAAATACGAAATTGACTGGTGTTCTTGATGTGTCTGTAATAAATAGTAACGAACGTAAGTATCTGTATGTGTGAATACAGAAAGCAATTGCTAGATTAGGGTACACGGTCGGCGAATATTGCTCAAGATCTTCGCCTCGATGGTTTGAACAAGTAAAAATCAATCGTCACACCCTCGGTCCGTCTGACCTTGTTACAGATGCTGCTTGAGCAAGATTCTACAGCCGTTAACACCGCTTACGAGTATTACAACGCGTCAAAGACGCATAAGAATATTAATCATATTTTATGTATATTAACTTGAAAAGTTCTTGTAAATGGGAATATATGTATATGTATTCGATTTGCAATTCGCATTTAGTGATCCTTGACCGGTTTTATCGACGTACAGAGTGATCGAAAAGCAATGAATCGAAAAGTTTCCTTTTCGTTTTAGATCACCCTGCAGTCCCTGCATGTTTTCGAATACCGTTCAAAATGCCAAGTCTAGGAAACGATTCTTTTCTCTTATTTCACATCGACTCCCGTAATTCAGTGTCAAGATTTCGCGAGTGTTGAATTTTACACGGACGCACGGGGGCTCGGCATGACACGAATATCAAAGAAATTCTAAAAGCGCATCGACCTAGTTGACTTCGCTGTTTTCACTTTCGAGCGCCCACAATCGGTCGCCGTTCAGTATTGTATAACAGCTTTTATCAATGATCCGCAGACCGTTCCCTAAGAAACTCCTTGTGTGTACCTTTGTTTCCTATTCATACAGATCCATCTAGGTACGTTTTCCTTTTGTCACAATTGTCATGTTAAAAAATACGATTCTAAACACACTTCAATATATCCGGTAACGTTCTTAATTATTCAATCATAACTCGGTGGTTCTCGCAAAAGAAACTATTTCAATGTAACGCATACTTGCTCACCGAAAGAAAATTATTCTTTTCCATCCAGTTGAAGGCGTTGACGGACGTGTAATGTATGAACGTCCCGATCCAGCTCCCAATAGCGCGGCAGTGCGATCAAGGACCGCTAATGGTCCCGAATCAAAGAATTGCGAAATAGACTCGATGATCGATCTATGGACAACATAGCTGTCAGGTCCCACGAAGGAAGCAGGTTTTCGAAGATCGAACATGTGGTAGGATGAAGTAAATCGACCCAGTTTTGGTCGAGTTTAAGCCTTTGTCAATGATGGGAGGGGTACCGGAACGGGACGGTTTTGTGAGAAGGGGTACCCATTGGTAGAACATCGCCATATAAGCAACGTCTGCTGCCACTGACGACGCAGAGTCTTGCACCCCCTCGTTGATACGGTTTCTCGACGAACAAGGTAATTTCAGTTTTTCAGTATGATCTGGAACACAGAAATTCTGGTTAGAAACCAATGAATTTTCATTCTTAAGACTTAAGTCCAACGCGCATGTAATACACATTACACGTAACAACGTTCTTGATCTATCGGGCTTGTTATTATAATATGTTAGAACATTGGTTAAAAGAAAAATTCTATAGACAAGCCATCTTTAGTATTTAATATCGAGATTTTCATAACGATGCAGAGTTTTAACCGGATCTAGCGCAGATCTAACAGAAAGTCAACTATCTGCACTGATCGACCATCATTTCAGAATGCAGACAGGGATCATATTGGTGACTATTGCGGCGGCAGCCCTGCTGCAGGGCGGGCACAGCAGCTCGGTGTCCATCAGAATGCCCTATCTGAGTCCAGCAGGTGTGACTTACATCAACAACGTAGAGCCCCACGGACTCACTTACGCGATACCAGCGAACGTAGAGGCCCATCACGTTGGGTACGCTGCTGCCCAGGTGCCTGCACTCGCTGCTGTACCCTTCGTGAAACACGTGCCCACGGTGTCCCATGTACCGGTGACCAAATACGAGAGACAACCGATCGTTCTGGAGAAACAGTTGGATGTGGTGAAACCGGCCGTGCAGACCCGTAAATTCGAGGTGAGCCTCTAACCGGCGAACAACAGACAGATTTTCATCTCGAACAGTCGTTAATCGCGAATCTTGCGCCAGGTTCGCCGTCCAGCGATCCAGAAGCAATTCTACGACATCGAGGAACGCGTGATCGTGCGTCCAGCTGGATCAGCCGTGGTTGAGCTCGATCATCCGACCTCGAAGGTACAAAAGGGACCAGCTTTGATCCACCCGTATTATCCCCATCAGATTGCTCAGTCCGAAGGTGTCTTCAGCTTTGGACCCTCGACCATTTCCCCGCCGGTAGCCTCTCCCACTTTACCCTCCAACTCGAACGAGGAAGGCGTTGTCGTGGAGAATCCCGATTTCCGTAAACTGCAAGAACAACATCAGGTACGAGTATTCAGCGAGAATCAACAATCTCATAGGAATATAATTGACATTTCTTTAATTATCAGGGCGGTCTGTTGAGCCCCCAAGTGAGAAATGTTTCGAACGGTGCATCCAATGAACCATTCATGGCCTACGATCCTACACCCAGCGTGATAGTCAGTCCCAACTCCAGCCCCGAGGAGGACAGGAACAATCAGAACAGACTTCTCGAGCTTCTCACCGCTCGTGGCAATGTAGCCGAGGTAGATTATCCAATCAGAAATACTGTATCCCCCTGGTAGACTTGTTGTCCGTGAACGTTCTAAGGTGAAAATACATATTGTACGTACACCCACCGTAGGTTGGATTCGGTCGTTTGGGTCTCGCGAACTCCGCGCTGGAAGAGATCAGCAATGTGAGGGGCCGAGTGCTGTCCGCGACTCCAGCTCCAGATGACGCGAAACCAGCCGACGAACGCGTTTCCACGAGACGTGTCGTTCTCACCAGGCCTATCGAGACCCTGCAGGAATTGAATGTCGTGGAACCGGCGACGAAGATCGAGAGAATCTCTGTGCAACAGCCGAGTTACATCGATACGGCGCGTCTCGAACATGTTCCGGTCCACAGCTCGGTCCCAGTCGTTGGCAAAGCTTACGCTCCCACAGTGGCTCACGCCGCCATCCCTCTTTACCAAAAGACCATCTCGCCGGCTTACGCATACCATCGTTAAACCGGCTGTGAATCGTGATACCGTCGCCTGTCTGTACCCGGGTATTTATCGGAGGTAAATACCGATCTGTGGGAAGCATCAACATCACCGTCGTACCTGTCGTACACGGAGCCGACATATTCTCGGAACCATTGAAACCATCGTTAGCCCCCATTCAAGTGGACGTTAGAAACATCATTCGAATTGCATGTATCTAGACAGATGTTTTTTTATCGAGGCTACACTCTATGTGATGTAAAAAATAGTTGTTCCGTCAGTTTATTCCTCGAGCCGTGGTTATCGTAGATACAGCTGGCCGCTGGTGTGGAACGAAGATCTAATTGTTTACGATCAATTAAGCACGAAGCCTCTTTACCCGCGCGTACAGACTTTCCTACCCTCTGTTTACGTTTTGTATTGCAAAAGGTTTATACATAAAGAAGAAAATTATAATAATTGCTGGGATTGATTCTCTTCGTGAAACCTGTAATTTGAGGTGTTACTCACGACTTTCCTTCCCGCGCGTACCGGTCATCGTCAACTTTCATTGGGCGTTACGGTACGAAACCGAAAATGGTAATTGGTACGAGCAGGTATGTACGTCCGAATTTCGAGGAACAAACGAAAATTATACGGTTCAAAATTCAGTGGAGCGGAATAATCAGTTTATAAACGTCACCGAAAGTGTGCCGATCATCTGTTTTGAACTTGTCCTTGGACCGAGAACAATAGAAACCGTCGTTGTTCTCTTTGAAACAAATAAAAATGCCTGTAATATTTATAAAATGTTCTTAAGACGGGTGTATACTTTTATGGAGGTGCCTGTTTTAAAACAAACACCAAAAGGTATACATACATATAAACAAAGAAAAGTCACGTCATACCTGTGGAAATTGGTATTGATCGATTGTATACACAAGCTGTAAAGTTAGCAGACTGAAAGGGGGTAAGAGTAGGGTGGAAACAGAAGCGTCTGACACTGACAGTCAGAGTAGTGTGAGTTGAACCGTGAACGAGATCGGATGGTGGTATCGTAGTGTCTTATTAAGTGTTCACCGGTAACACGAGCTGAATTTCGATGACGGGCATACACATCTGTGCAGACGTAAGGAAATCGCATACTATCAACAAAGATTATTCGTCTTTTTTACCCATCAATCTTCGTTGTCCCGGCTCAAAGAGTTTACAAATTATGCATGTAACCGGTTACGTCAGATCGGGACGAATCTGTTGGGGACAATTTAAATAATCATCGGCTCAAGTGCAGGGCCATTCGTGTCATCGCGCGTATGTTTGCCTCTCCCCGTGATCTCCTACATGCACAGTGTCTTCCATTAAATTATGCACGCGCATTACTCGCAGTGGAAAGAAAGTACATACATACATATGTATACATATGTATACAGACTTCCTGAAACGATCGAGTCAATTCCGGCAAGGGTAACCACTGCCTCCGGGTATTACCTATAAGGACGCGACATTGACCCGAATTCCGCCGAGTGTCCGCTCCCTTGTCTTCTTTAAATGCCTGGAACAAAACCGACAAACGTTTACTAAAAATTTCAAGAATCAATCAAGCGTGTAATTCATGTAACCTTGTTACATTTCGAAAATTCGTTTCGTACACGTTCTCGATTCCCCTTTGGTCGAAAAATATGTTAACGGTCCGAAAATTCCTGCGAATCGCTTGTATGAATCAAGTATCGAGAACCTGGAAAAAGTGAAACTAAATAATGTGAGCGTTTCGAAAGTTCTGTAAATAGTCTTTAAATAATCTAATTAACAATTCCATAAATGGTAGGAATAAAATAGCGTCTATCCTAACACCGGCATTTCTTTCTATAAAAATCACAAGAAACAAAGGAGACCAGAGGTTTGTAGTCATAGACTGTAGACCATAGCATAGCTGTGTGTATACAGTTTAAGCCGGATCCAACTTTCGACCGAAGCAACGTATCTATACATATGTATACATACGCGTAAACCGGAAAACTCTGGTGGACGAAAAATCGTCTCGAGAAATCGCGTAGGCGGTTGAAATCCGTGGACCGTGTAACAATTTAGAGAACTCTCGACGATTTGCATTGTATTTGATCAGGACACCATGTGCACCCAGCACCGAATCAAGAGTCGATTTCGTTATGATTAAATGTTATTTAATTTTATTTAAAATGAATTTCAACCCCACGCCGCTTTTCAAGCAAAACGGCTCCCGAAAGTGTTTGATAGCCCTGGGCCAGAAAAAATCTCAATGCGGGCCTGTATGCATCAGTCACCGAAAACATCGTGTGACAATTTCCTTCGTGTCTCGTGCAGTTTCAACTAGTAGGACAGGAAATCTCTCCACTTTCCAAAAATGTTATCTCTGACGTGACCCGCTGCAAAATAGTCATCGAGGAACCGAACGAAATTCCGATCGCAGAGCGCGTATCACTTTTCCCCGGTCACGTACAAACTTTACACCTACGAAATTTCACGTTGTCCGCTGATTTCAGCCACGTCGAGGCTTCTTAAAACGCGACTTTTAACGAATTCACGGTGCGTAACCGCGACGAGTCGGCCAAGCCCGGTGAATTCTCCTCTGAAAACGTGGAAAGTGAAACGGGAGCGGAACATTACGTTTTATCGGTTCTTAAATACGCCGCACGCGGAATTTAAACGATATATGCAATACAAGTTTTCGTGGATAAAAATAAACGTGGACACACACACACACACACACACACACAGACTTATTAGTACTTTGAATTTTTCACTGACACGCTCGCTGAACTCTACAAGAAGTACCAAGTCGTTAAAATCTGTTAATCGTTTATCTCGGTAAGTCTAGTTCGAGTTATATGTATCAAATGATGACTGCCTGCCTGCTGTGTCATGCGTACAATATTATATTTAGCCTGTCTGTACCATCGGAAATCCTCACGCTCGTTTTAAATCGCATTTATATGCATTCGCATATCGCACCTAAAAAAATGCAAAGAACAGATTTGTAAATTGTTAAACGAAGAGAATTGCGGCAAGAGGGAAAAAGTAGCGTATAATTTGGCATCTAGAAGAGATACAGAGTGATCGTGAAATCGACCGACAGCGAAAGTATTCGTTTTTCGGGCACCGAGAGGACAATATGGGGTAACAGACTCTCTAGTAGAGTTCAATGTCGACCGTTTGGCCGAGGTCTAATTTACGAGAGCACGCTGTGTCGTTTCTACCAACCATACGTATAAAAAGGGCATGGCATGAATGGTCGCGGATGCGGGATTCCTCACCCTTGAACCGATTCTCGCCGGAGGAAGCGAGGAATAGTAGTGGCCTGAGGACGTGAGAACGCTGGACGACTGAGACTGACCTCTCTTCCGAGGTGTAAGGCCGACAGAAGGACCACGAGCTAGGCAATGACCAAGAAACGTCAAATATAACCTCCGAGCCCGAGAGTATCGTACACTCGCCAGCCTATATAAGTAACACTGTAACGGATCCTGAATTCAGTTAGACACGCACAAGAGCGATAACTAGATCCTTTCGAGTCGAGTTTATCGAGTGGCCGGGTAGGTGAGTGTCGGGGACGAGCGGATTTTATTTCACGTGCGTGATTCAGGATTGAATCCGAGGATCGAACGTGAAATTTCGAGGTTTGTGTGATTCCGCGATCGTTCGAGGACAAAAGGATCGAGTTTCGATCGCGATTCGGTTTATCGGGATTGAAAGGATCAAGTGTCGCATCGCACCGCCGGAGAAAGTCACTTTTGCTTTCGATTCAATATTTTTTCCCATCGTTTTTTTTTTCTTTTTGTTTTTCGCTTAGGCCACACGAGTTTAATCTACATACACGTATTTCTTTGTGCGATTTTTTAGTCTACATAGATTCCCGCGTGGACATGGTTCGTGAATACGAAAATCGAACACCAGGAGAGATTTACTGTTTCGTTTTACTTCGATTCGATTATTAATAAAAATCAGGATCGAAAGTCTTGTTACACAAGCTCCGTATCATTTACGGTTTAGAAACTGCTTAGCCAGCGTCGGTCGCCGTTATACAATTAAATATCTACTTACTAAGTAAATTATTAATGAATATTCGCTCGAACACGAGAATCTTTGTTTGCCGTGCGTTCAAATCACCGAGGCTTCGCACGTGGAAATCTCGAGAACGATAAATCTTTCGAGTAGATTTTTTTTGACGATACATATTACGATTCTGGTGGTAAATTCATCGACAAAATGGCTAAATATTGTAATTCGAATCCCAAAGTAATAGCAAAGAATGAAATATGAATTTTGAGAATGCTCAACGATCGTGGGCTGTGATCGCGGTGAAATATCAGACCCCTACGGTTCTCTGCGGTTACGCGAACTTTTTTTTTGTAAAGTTCTGACGAATATCTCTCCCAATTGATCGAGATTGGCATAGTCAAGTTAAGCGAAACTGAACGTTGTATATTTGTTGCAGAAGCACTGTGGAAATACGATTTCGCAAGATGAACGTATTAATAACGATTGTCATTGTCGCGGGATTATGCGCAGCAGCGCCACAATATTACCTTCCCTCTGGTCTCCTGTACCCACATCCGGCTAATTTATTGACTTCGGCGATAGAGGATACGTTGCCCAATGAGCTACGAAACGATTTTTACAAAAATCCCAGAATCGCAGCCAGACTCGCTCAGGAGTCGTGGTACCTTAACAAAGAGATGCAGGTAAAGTTTGTTGCGTGTAAAATGAAAAAGATATGTAATAATGATCGTGTTGTTGGTACAAATATTAACAGTTGTCATCGTTGTAGGTGATCGATCGCGACTCCGATAAGATCCCACGTGAAAAGATCTACAATGTCCTCCATAATGCGGGCCTCGTGCAAAAATGAGATTAGAATAACAATAAAGATACAAAAAAAAAGAAGAAAAAAGAACATAATCAATTAATCAACAACCTTATTGCACTCACTCGCAGTAATCCTTTCGTTTTTCCTTGAAAGCTATGGTGGAACACAGACAAAAATGAACGAACCATGTTCGCATAATTTATTTAGTATTTCTTTTATTGCAGAATCTATAAAAATATTTACGTTCTTATAATAAGACAGAACTATTTAAAAATATTTGGGCAATTTTATGTTACATTTCTTTCAGTCGATAACTGTTTAAAAGGAAGAAAGAAATTGAAAAGTTCACCTTTCCCTGTTTAAGTAACCGAGACTTCGCGATATCAACTTGGGGTATAAGCGTGAGCGAGATAGTGAAACATTAGATGCCTGAAGGCATGCATCATGCCATACAACAGAGAAACCAGTTACATACACTCACACATACTCGTCAAGTATTCCAATTGTATCCATAATCGTTCATAAGGTACGGCTTACATCTGTACAAAGAATGAGTATAAAGTCTTCAATCGTAAATAAATATCAAATCGGTTGATTTTTATATATTTTTTTTTAGATAAATTAAATTCGACAGTATAATACATTCATTATATAGGCGATTAAAAATTTTGTATCGTTTTATTTACGTTTAAGTTGTTTGTGTTCATCAAGACACTGTAAAAAGGTGTCCACAATGGTTATATCCTCGCCCATCACATAACGTGACTTCTTCTGAATGGATTGAAGTGAATTTGAATGCAAGAAACTATGTATCTTTTCCAAATAACAATCTATTTGATTCGCGTACAATACACCCTTGCTCTCGTAGCGCAACAACTGTGGATTATAACTTTCGATCAAGCGATTCAAGTATCGTGCTACGTTCACTTCTCCCATTATCTGTTGCATTCCTGGCAACTGCATTACTGGATCAATTCCAATTTCCTTCCAAATGATTGTTAAATGCATTGCAATGTCCTTGTCTTTGTCTTTATACTCTGAACAAAAAGTTAATAAATTCTGCGGGAAATCTTGTACAGTCGAGTGTACATATGTTTCTATAAAAATCTTAATGTAGGGTTTTATGATATGGAACAATGATTCCATGAACTTAATTGGATGTTTCGGATCGCAAAATATCACAAGCTTCTGTTTTTCGAATTTTCGAACACATTTGGGCGTATAGGATTCACTTCCATATTTCTCCAGTTGTTGCTCATTTGATTTCTGATTTTGGTCTTCCAATCTTTCCTCTTGCAATTGAATATTACTGATCCTATGAAAAAATATTTTACTTGAATGTAAAAACAGTGCCTTTAACTGATATTATATTCCTCTCTGTGGTTTCATCAATTTTTTAACTAAATGTGCAGACTTTACCTTATACAATAAGTTAACTTAAATAGATACCTTGATATAAATACCTTAATAATGTTTAGAAAGATATTTACTTGTTTAAGCGACAAATAGGATTGTTATAAACCATTTCCATATCCACTTTTGACCCAACTAAATCTCGTATATTATTTATTCCATATTTAATCATAGTTGGCCTGCGAAGAATACCAATCTTTCATACTGTTTTCTTTGAGAAAGAACGCAAAACAATTGTTAACGAATCTCAACCTTTCTAGAGATAGTCCCCAAGCAATTACGTTCACATTTGCGGGTAATCCCATCGGTAAGAGCATTTCCGGTCGGAACATTCCACTGTTGCCAATTTCTATCCATTTATTCAAGCCATTATGATAACAAAAGATTTCCATGCTTGGCTCAGTGTACGGATTATACGCAGGCTTAAATTCAAGTTGCGTAATATCGAGTTTTTTGAAAAATTCATATAATATTCCTATTAAGTCACCTAACGTCAGATTATAGTCAGCTACTACACCTTCAATCTGGTGAAATTCCGCAAGATGCGTAGCATCCAACGTTTCATTACGAAATACTCTATCAATACTGAAGTATTTCACTGGTTTAAATTCACCCTGAAATTTATTTACACAACCTGTCAATACTATCCCATTAGGGTTTCGGAAAACGTGTGAACATGCACCTTTAATTACCTGCTCCATAAGCTTGTAAAGCATCCTAGCACTAACAGCGGTTGTATGAGTACGAAGAAGGTTCTTTTGTGCTTCTTCTATTTTCCAATCATAATGATAGCCTATAGATCCATACCCACCTTCACTGTGAACTTTTTTCACTTTCTCTAAATAGCCCATTGGGAACTTTGTACTATGAGATGGCTCTAAAGTGAAAACTTGAAATTTAGTTACTCTCATAAGATGTCGATTGATATAAAATTATTCATAGAAATACCAGATATGAAAAAGGTATCATGAGAGTCTCTGGCTGGATGTTGCTGAGGCTGAAATAAAGCATCAAAATTCCAGAAAGAACTTTCTACATAATTATTTGTTGGCATTTCGGTGAATCTGAAAAGTAAACATTAAAACATTATGAAAGAAATGAACTTAAAGAAACTTGATTTACCTCCTTGAATTACACACCCCATTTCAAGGAAAATCTTCCTGAATTCACTCCTAACTTTTAGCAGAGGATGCAAGTGGCCTATTTCAAGAGCAGAACCAAGAGCTGAAAAATTATATGGTTTGAACTTCTTGGTTTTCCAAGCACCATTTACCAAGAGGTCTGCAGTCAATTCCGTTTCTAATTTCTCAACTTTTGTTGTAAAGTTTAAACCCTTTCTTACTTGTATAGACTTAATGACTCTGTCGGTGAACAAATAGTTTATACACATATATATACATATATATGCATGCTGCTTTATTTCAACATTTGAATAACCAATTATATAATGCATTCAATTTTTATGTAATAAGTAGAATAAAACATACGTTTCCTGGATGAGTTTTCTTTTTTTATAATCGCTTCTAAGGCGATCGGTCAAGTTTGCAATATCCTTTAGATGATTCTGTGTTACATCTGTGATAGATGATACCTTCTTTTTTACAATAGGTATACCACTGGATTTGTCCATTTCTATCCAGCCAGCCAACAGTGCTTTAGAAAATCCAACTTTTGCAAATGGTACTGATTGCAGAATTTCAACTTGTGGCATTCCATCATCAGGAATGGCATTATATATTGCTGCTTCATGACTTCCATAACTTACTACGTGTTGTCCCTCTGATGTTAATTCCCACTTTCTTTCGTTTACTTGTTTTGTTGTAATTAACTGAAAAAACTCGTAAATCAATGAATAAACTCATCAACAGCCTCTACAAACGAACTTGAACATTAATAGCAATCTTTCTCAGGTTATGATGTAGTTTAAATTTTTCTTCATATATTAGTAATACGAAAATAGATAAAAAAAAAATGTATTTATACAGAAACTAACGGCTTTTGACGAAAACTTAGTCGTTTGACAATCGATACGATTTGAATATCTTTGCCAATTTCAATCTGTCAGACTTACATCGCCAATTGCTTCCAAACTTTTAATTGCTCCGATTATTTTCTGATGATTTTCTTTGAAAACATCTGCAAGAACTAAGGAATTAACTTCTCCTTGTTCGTCCAGGTAATCCAAAATTTGGTCATTCAGTTGTTTTGCCATATTTAAAGTACAATTGCTGTATGTATAATATTCAGAATGAAAGCACGGCCGGCAGGCAAACGACCACGTGAACCAATCATGATCTCAGTGTACTATATAACTATACTTACATATATACAATGTCATAATAATACATACATACAATCAATTCTTGTTCTAATATCGTATAAGCACGTAATTTCAAATATTTAAAAAACAGTATTGTATTTGGCGGGTCATTTATGTACAGATTAGACAAATTTAACGAACATACTTTACATATACTCCGTGTACTTTAATTCATCCATTTTGATTAATCTTTATAAATTATTACTTTAAAATATACATTGCTATACATACTATAAAAAAAATATAAATAATATTATGAACGTCTTCAATGTAGAGAGCTTACTTATTACTTCTAAATATAGTATAAAATATAACATCAGAACACATACAATTCAGATGATCAATTTAATAAGAAAAAAAATTACAGACATTCTGAGTAACAATATTCCTTCAGAGTCATAGAGATATTTGATGCATACCAAGTAAAAATGAACTGCATTAGCTTTTAAATATTTTATTCATAAGAATACAAATTACTTAAGTGGAATAAATCTTGAGGAGTGAGTAGCACCAATACCAGGTCTACCATGTTTTACAGGTTTATAGGTGACAGAAAACTCGCCCAAGTAATGGCCGATCATTTCGGGTTTGATTTCTACTTGATTGAACGTTTTGCCATTATAAACACCAACAATAGAACCAACCATTTCTGGGACAATGATCATGTTACGCAAATGAGTCTTAACAATTTCTGGTTTTTCATTTGGTGGTGTCTCCTTCTTTGCCTTACGCAGCTTCTTCACGAGAGCCATAGGCTTGCGTTTCAGACCATGAGAGAATCGTCTTCTGGCACGTGCATGCATCAAAACCATGAGCTGCTCACTGGAATCAATATTTCAAAATATAACGAAACAAATACACATTGAAGTCTCGTGTCAATTTTCGTTTTACCTGAACAGTACTCACTTTGGCATATCCAGAAGTTGATCGAGGTCAACTCCCCGAAAAGTAAACTTTCGAAAAGTCCTCTTCTTCTTCTGAGTTTCTTCTTGCTGAAATACATACATGGCAAAATCAAAAAAGGGTTAGGAGTAAAAAAAGAAAACTAAGTTTCTTCGTTTACATATTAATATCGGTTTTTTCAGTTACGGGGCGGAAATACAAATTGTTCTAATGCACCCGATTACAAATTTTATGATAGATGAAAAGGATTTCATTCGATACCCTTAAAAGATCTATGACACGTACCTCAGCCATGTTTTCGGGTGCTGGGATAAACGACAATAGGAAACAGCGCTGTTCTTCTCTGACGGAAATCAACTCTGGCGCTAACTATATAAATACAATTAGATGCACTAACAAATGTTGAACATCACGACATAAGAAGGAATTCTCAATTCAACTGATGAGTCTCGAGTCAGTTAATACATAGTTAATACTATTTTAATTACAACAGCTATGTAATGTTGTTCCGTCGTTCTTTCAATGCTTTTTGGCTATTTCGAAGATCTGACAATCTGAACGTTTAATAATTCCGCCGACATAGCCATGTTGTATTTTAGTTGACACGAGAGATGCACAACATAGTAGCGCTATGTCTTGACTACATCTGGTGGGGAGTGTTTCTTTTAGCACATTCTTATTGAGCTTCTTGCACTGGCTTGCACGATATTCAACGATATTCCATAAGATTGAGAAACGCAGCGGGTTATTACTTGTGTGAAAGGACAGTGGTGACTGTTGTCTTAAAAATATGAAATACATTTTAGTGACCGGTGGTGTGATTAGTGGAGTCGGGAAAGGTGTTATCGCAAGTTCCTTTGGCACTATACTTAAACATTGCGGCATTCATGTGACGTCTATCAAGATCGATCCGTACATAAACATAGATGCCGGTACATTTTCTCCATATGAACACGGTACGGTATTGAATTTTATTTGTTGTCTCTCTTATCTCAAGAAAATCAAATGCTTCAAATAACTTTCGCATAAATTCAGCATTTTTCTATAACCACGTGGTGTCTAAGTCATATTACATGTACATATATACGTTCCTGCCGCCCACCGTCGTGCAGTTCTGATCACGTGTTCCGAAGTAAATATCAATTTAATATTTTAAAAACAATACGGTCATTGAAAAATGCGATCATTTCGGTAAATTAATACTTGTAATAGCAATTTATTCCGAATAAAATGTTCGATGATTACTGTCATTAATCAATTGATTAACTATTAGTTAATCGATTCTTTTACGTTTTCAGATTAAGATCATATCTCCCTATTTATTGATCAATTATAAAAATGTTCTGCTCTTTTTGATCAGTTTATTATTCTTTAATGTATTAACATAAATATGTTACATGTCTGTTTAAGGTGAAGTATATGTTTTGGATGATGGAGGGGAAGTGGATCTTGATTTGGGAAATTATGAACGTTTCTTGGATATTACTTTGCACAAAGATAATAACATAACAACTGGGAAAATTTATCAGCATGTAATTTCAAAGGAAAGGCAGGGTGATTATTTAGGAAAAACTGTACAAGGTATGAACAATAAAATTCTTATTATTGTTCATTATGATAGTATACATTTATCAAACAATAATCATTTAATTCTGGATTTAGTGATACCTCACATAACAGATGCTATCCAAGAATGGGTTCAAAAGGTAGCATACCAATCAGTCACACAGGATGGTGACAAACCTGATGTAATGTGATATTTATGTATTACTAATTATACAGCTAGATTCTGTATATATATATATATATATATATACAAACTCCTTTTAATAGTACATAAAGTAACTTATATTTTGTTTATCGCAGGTTTGTATTGTAGAGTTGGGAGGTACAATAGGGGACATTGAAGGAATGCCATTTGTTGAAGCTTTTAGGCAATTTCAATTCAGAGCCAAACGGGAAAACTTTTGTTGTGCTCATGTGTCTTTAGTGCCACAAGTATGAAACTATTATTATTTAAACAATTCTCCTTTGTTGTTATAGATCTTGTCTTTGAACTTGGGCCAGAAAATTAAGTAGACTTATTCTTAGACTGTAGAATTATATGTAGTGAGGGACAGACGTATTGTTGTACAGTACTAGTGTAAAGTAAAAAATGTATTTTCTGGGACCATATTTGAATCTGTATAATGGTATATTATATTGTACACAAATTTTCGGAGCAAGAAATCTGTAAGAACAAAAATTATAGTACTGTTATATAGAATTCCCATTTCAGTTTACCATTCATAATGTTCAAAGATTCTATAAAATCTAGTATTTTGTTTCTAGCCACGTTCTACAGGAGAACCAAAAACAAAGCCAACACAATCCAGCGTAAGAGAGCTACGTGGGTTGGGCTTGTCCCCTGATCTTATAGTTTGTAGATCTGAAAAACCGATTGGTGATTCGGCAAAGGAGAAGATTTCAGATTTCTGTCATGTTGCTCCAGAACAAGTAAAAAATTCACTGTCATATCTGTTTCATTTGTACTCGAATGTCAATGGAAAATCTCGGTACAACGTTTATCTTTCTTAGGTCATAACAGTACACGATTTATCATCTATATACCGTGTACCATTGCTAATGGAATCTCAAGGTGTCATTGAATTTTTAAACGACAGACTACAGTTAAATATTGGTATGCCACGACCACGATGTTTTATGCGAAAATGGAGGAACTTGGCGGATCGTATTGATCACTTACGAAAGGAAGTAAATATTGCATTAGTGGGAAAATATACGAAACTGGAAGATTCCTATGCGTCAGTTACAAAAGCGTTGCAACATGCGTGTATCGAAGTTGGCTACAAGCTTAATTTAACAGTAAAGTATTAGAGCCACAACTTATTACAGCCTCTATAATAATAGTTAGTTTGTATTACTATACGATTACAATTTTAGTACATAGAAGCTGATAATTTAGAACAGAGCACGAAGTTAGCTGATCCTGTACTATATCATGAAGCCTGGCAGCAACTTTGCAAAAGCAAGTGAGTTTTCAGGTCATTTTACATTTTTTATATTGAAAAATTTCTTCTGCCAAGCTTTATTGTATTATTTGTATTATATCCAGTGGTGTCTTAGTACCAGGAGGTTTTGGTAAAAGAGGACTGCTTGGGAAAATGGAGGCATGTAAATGGTGTAGAACAAATGATAAACCCTACCTCGGTATTTGTTTGGGGTTACAAGTAGCAGTTGTTGAAATCGCAAGAAATGTTTTGGGCTTGGAGACCGCAAATACCACAGAAATCGAACCAAACACGGATCATCCTCTTGTCATAGATATGCCAGAACATAATCCAGGTCAAATGGGAGGAACTATGAGACTTGGAAAAAGACGCACACGTTTCACCGAACGTAATTCTGTCATAAGTTAGTAAGACGATGCTTATAAAATGTAAATCGCGTTCATATATGTTTGCAAACATGTATTCTACATTATTATTCGTCTAGAACAATTGTATGGGAATAAGGACTTCATAGAAGAAAGGCATAGACATAGGTATGAAATTAATCCAAAGTATATTTCCGACTTGGAAGAAGCTAGACTTCATTTCGTAGGTAAATAAAGTAACATTAATTCTTAAGTTTCGTGGAATTATTTTAAAGTCCATACTTTGATATAATATAGTAAAATCTTTGTATCAGGTCACGACGAAGATAATCTACGTATGGAAATTGCAGAGTTAGAAGGACATTGTTATTATGTCGCTACACAATTTCATCCAGAATATTTGTCTAGACCTTTAAAACCTTCACCACCATTCTTAGGACTAATTTTAGCCAGCGTTGGTAAATTGAAGTACTACTTAGCTAGAGGTTGCAGACTTTCACCTAATCAAATTAGCGACACTGAATCAGGTAACGAACTGACGGTTTGTTATAGTTAGACTGTTGTATTAGATGGTTACTGTAATTGAAATAACATTTACCACTCTTGACAGATACTGAATGTATAATGGATCCAATAAAGCAACATATAAGCGATGCAAGTAGGAGTGGTAGTACTACATCCGGTACTAATGATTAAATCTTCAGATTTATGTGGTCAAGAAATGATTTCGAATGATAAACTATGTACTACTCCTGTGTACATACGGCAGAATGACGAAAACTTATGTTAGACAAGAGTTAAGTACATACATTTATGTCTGTATATGATATATAGATTTTTACTATGTGACTATGCTATGAAATATGTATAAAGCACAGATCATACATCGTTAAGTTTCATAAATGTTTTGAAACTTCATTAAACGTATAGTGGATAAAACTTGTGTAGCTGCTAGGGATAATAGTTTTTTTACTGTCACAGTTAAAATACTAACTTATGAAATCTTTTCCAGAAAAACGATAAATAGTTTAAATACATATGCATAGAATTATACTTCAAACGTAATGATTTTGTTTCTGTTACGCAGTGACTCCGTTTAAGACACCAGTTATTTATGTACAATTGTAGTTTCCTCAGAGAATTATCATATTTCTTTTTCTTTATTGTACCTTGTAATTATCGCGTGTTCTTTTATGGTGCTTTCAAATATATACGTATATATTTGTGTGTATTGTATGGCTTCGGTAGAAAACATTGTTATTTTATATACAATAATAAATTACTAATTGTCGCTTAATACATTTGGAGGAGTAGTTTGTGATAAATTTAAAAACTTTTTTACTCTGTACATACATATAAATACGTTGCAGGTTGCTCTTTTGGTTTTATAAATCCTGTTGTCTTTGCTATCTTTAACATCCTTCCGAATCACAGTGAAATACACCAATAATGTGTCTTTTGACACATTTATGGTAATTGAAGTAATTATTATATCATAATCAGAATTACGATTTTTCTCTTTATTGAGCAGCACATGCGTTCTGCCGAATACAGTATATAAAATATACACTGGCATGTTACAATAAAACATTTTCATCGTATAAAAATGGTATATGTACACTCTCACTGTTACACGTACAGTACACGATTAGTGACACTAGATTAAAATTAAGTTACAGTAGTGAATTCAGATCATTACAAGTCAAAGAAAATAAAATATCTGTAATACATAATAAACGAACAAAAGAAACAAATAAATACAAAAAAAAGAAAAAGGTAAAAAAAAAATGCACTTTGGACGGTAAGCATTACAAGTAATACTGAGAACATTTTTCGCAAAACGAAAAGATAGTATTTTACATGCAACAAGAAATCATTGGTCATTTCGTTGACCTCTGTTTTATATGTACATATTTCGATTTCTGGTAATAAAAGGTACTGCTAATTTGAAGACGAAACACAAATAGTGAAATTTTACGAAAATATGTTATCAGATCGATTGGTTTTTAATAATTTGGCAAGCGATAATGAAGATAGCGATACAAGTGGAGTACAAAAGTAATAACTAGTCTCGTTTTCTAAAATGATATACATACAATACATGAATATCTAGCCATATATTGTTATCCTGCACTGATGTTCAATCTAAATTACAAAAGTACAATAAATACTTATGCACCTCACAATCTAAACTAACAATAGTCTAAAATTGCAATTTCGTTCGTACTACATCTTACGTGTTTCACAACTATTAAAAATACACAATTAGCAATACACTATTTAAAACTAAGCATTGAAATAAACTCAGTAATGGAATTGATAAAAATAAAACTGAAACTTTTATCATAAGGAATGAAATTCTATAACCTGGATACCCGTGTTCATACATATAACACTCTAGTCGATGTGTTATTTAATGTTAATTTTTTAATGTAAATATCAAGTCAAATTAAGTAAATAAGAATTACCTTGATAAATATTTTCTATGCATCTTTCACGGAAAATTTTATTAGTTTTGTACCAGTCTGGTTTCTTTATACTTGTAAGAGATATTTGAATATAATTTCTTATATTCTATCAACCAGTTCAGTTTATCTTCGGCTGTAATTTCTTTCACAGAGCATTTCTACTCTTCTTATACTTATCGTTAAGTGGAAACAGTAGAAATGAAGTTTCGTATTGTTCTATGAAATCCTTTGTATGACACTTGAAAGTGCACTTATTATACATATAAGCATATCTTTACCTACAGATGTATTCTAGAATCGATACAGTAGCAGTACAATTTTATACTTAAATGAACCATTCCTTCTTCTTTTGAACTTGATGACCAGTAGCAGAATGGACAACAGCTGAATCTGGATCTAACGCTATTTCAGCACCTTTGTCCTCTTGCGTTAAATATTCACCTTTGTGTCTCGACATGTATCTCCCAATAAGTACTGCCATTATTACTAACGCTATGACAATGATAGCTAATACACTGCCCAAAATGGCTGTGTCAGTTTCGTTGTACGCAGCTCGAACTTTTTCTTCGTCCACCTGCGGAGGTGGACGCGTTTCGACGGTATCCGGCGGGTGTGTGATCGGTTCCACTCCGCAAAAGTCCTCTGTAAGAGGCGTGCCGAAAGAACGGACGTTTGCAGGTCCGTCTTCCTGGAATAGTAACTTCAACGGATATATGTCATCGAATTCAACCCTGGATATGCAACCAGCGAATCCCTCTGTCATGGATTCATTCCTACCAATGTACATGTATTGAATATTATTGAACTGAGCATCCGCCGAAGTTTTGATGTTGAAATGGAATTCCTTTGGCTCGTAGTTGTCGACTTGCAAAATAAGAGTGGATCCCGAGTTTTTCCTACCGATTCTGACGTCGTGATATTGTCCCAAGCCGAAATGTTTGTTAGGAAATATCACTTCCTGTCGTTCGAAGCCAAAATCAAAAACGACACGTAAGTGTCCGCTGTTCGAGACCATGATTGTCATATACTCTCCAGAAATGTTTGAAAATAGACCAAGCAGGAACCCTTTAGGATTTGTTGTGGTGAAACCGATTCGAATCTTCTCAGAGATTGTAGAACGCCAGCTACCCATGAAGTCGTACTTTATTATAGAACTAGGACGCATGTTTACCCCGATTTCTATAATGAAAGTATATACATGTATAGACACCTACTACATACGTATATCATTCCACAAGAACTAAAGAACATACCATCCGCACAAATAGGACCTTTAAATGCAGTCCAACGGCAGTCGCACGAGTATCCATCGTATCTTTCGTGGCATGTACCGTTGTTAAGACATGGATTACTTTCGCATTTACCCATACAACCGTCAGAAATTCCGTATAGGCCTTGCCGAGCATAACTTCTGAGATCCTGTAGTTGACCGTTCAATAGAAGCGCTCTAATGCATCCCACATAGCCGTCCCTGTAATCTGTTGTGGCACCAATCACAAGTTCCGACGTCAAATGTGGTGCCCGTACCGGTCCCGGTGGTTCTCTCACTTCGTTCTTTAATGCACCGTCAACTAGAATTCTAGCTTCTTTGCGATTCCTCTCCACCGAAACAGAATGCCATCGATTGTCCGCTAATCTATAAGAGGTCTGCACACTCACAGTGAGCGGACCGCTACCCGCCAAGTACTGAAATTGAATCTGATTTCCGCTGTTTATGGAGATTTTTATATAATCTGTAGGCCCTTTGCTGTGAATTATAACAGCATTCTCAATCGTTGTTTTGAATTCGAAGAAAATGTCACCGCTGTGACCAATATCAAATGTCGGGAGATTGATAGTGGCGTCTACAACGCGGAATGTTACTACGTTCTTGAACAAATCTACAAGAAAACGAAACAATTACATCATATCGGTGCAGGTTGTGCAGTCCGGATGATATTATGTTAGAATATTGTATATGTATATTTTATCACAAGGAATATAAAATATACATAGAGTATAGAGTATACGTAGCTACCTACGAACTTTTTTAGGGGTAAACCATCAATATAGTGAAATAGTATTTTACTAATTGCTATTATGTTACAACTAATATTATACATATATACCAAAGCATGATACGCCGTGTATTTCGCGTATCTGTAGTGTTTATAAACTACGTTAGATGATTTTATGGCTTACCTGATCTTACCTTGGTGGTCAACCAAGGTAATTCAGAACCTTCCAAAGAATTTGAAAATAAAATTAAATTTCCCCTTGTTTACATGCATAAAACCGAGAAAATCGTCTGAACTCACCGTCTCCCTCGCAGACGAGCGGTCCAAGTGTATAACGTCCTTCTTTTTCGTCCACCGGTGTACCCGTGTCGCCGAATCGTAATTGTTTAACAGGAAGATACTCTTTCTCGGTAATATCACCGCTATCTTCAAGGGCACCGTCCAAATCCGAGTCACAATTGCACCATTTCGTAGGATCTGCACAGTTCCCAAGTATACCACATTCGCATTTACGAGATCCTGGCAGTGCTCCACCCCAATAGTCCATCTTCTGGTTATTCCTACTGACCCACCATGAGTTTGGCCGGAAATTGTCTCCTTGCGCCACTGAAACGATAAAAGAGCATTTCAAATATTATTTTCATACATACATACATACATACATACACGGCCAATGATTTAATTCCGTTGACATAATTACCCGGTGAATTAAACAGTTTCGAACGTATACATTCGTAGCTGATTCTTTGTCTACAACTTGTGGATCGATTCAGGAGGGCTTCGATTTGATCCATGTCTGCATCGTAAATAATATCTTGAATGAAACTGCCTGGTTCTTGGAATCCATCCACAGGGGTCATGCGTTCGTTATTGTGCCTGACAATGGTCCTTACACGTCCGTCCGTATAAAATTCACAGACTACCGGGAACGGTTTCAGGGGGCCGCTTCCGTCAACATCAATTTTAACATCCGCTCGTTGATTTACCGAGTTTATGTTCTTATACGCCTCGCATGAAAGTGGATTTAACGAAGTATGACAGACTGCTCCTGTGTAACCCGTGTTGGCACAATCACAGAAGAATTCATCGGAATTTTGCCGACAAATCCCCGAATGTTTACACGGATTCGGATTGCAACGATCCATCATTTGACAAGCATCGAAAACTACTTCGTTTTTGCAACAGTATTCCTCGTCCTTCCAGTCAGTTGGCAGTTTATAATTGCCATCGATACTTATCATTCGCATGCAACCAACAAAACCACGGTTGCTTTCTATTCCAAGCACACCACCTATTAAATACACTGGTCCTGTTGTCATTTCTAGCATACGTTTCGTTCTCATAGGCGTTCCATCGACGTTCAAAACGAGACTGTTTTTCGATACTGTTAAGATCACTTGATGCCATTTGCCATCGTTGAACCTCTCGTCAAAATTATCTAAAGTCACTAGTGGATTTCCTTTCGTTTGAATGTCAACCTTCAATTTACCCTCGTCTAAATATAACTTTACGAAGCCCGGCGACGTAAACTGATGATACAAAATTATTCCCTTATCCTCGTACGTTCGAAAAGTCAGAGAAACATTCATGGACGATATTCCTTCGTATCCTTTCAGTCTAGCATACGATCCCACAGTCAGAAAGGTAACCGGAATTATGGGTGGTTCTGGACAGCTGAAAATTGTATTCACTCTATAATATCGTAAGTTTTCTCCAGTAATTTCCGTTTCTTTTAGGTCATGAATAATGCTTGTTGCGTTCAGATAAAAATTCTCCACGCATCCTGTGAAATTCTGATTAACTACCAATCCCTCTTGTTTATTAGGAACGCCGCCAATGTAAAGTGCTCTATTTAAATCCAGTCTATGAAACTCTCCTTTCAATCGTCCCTTAATTAATACCCTATCTACAGAGAATGATATATTCTTCCTATTGCGTGATATCAAAACGTCATGCCACATATTGTCATCCAACAAACTCCCAACGGATAAACTGGTCATGATACCAGATCCAAGATCAATATTTAATATCATCCTATTGTCCTTCAGTTGTAAAGCTATGTAATCTCCTTGTGTACCACGGGAGTACATTAATACCCCGTCGGCGTTATTCGTCTTGAATCGGAAACGTATGAAATGCCTATCAGTCTCTATGGGTTCTCTTAATAAATCGTATCGCAATAAGGACGAACCATTGAAGGAGAGAACGTCGGACACTATAAATAAGACAGACATTAATGATATCGTAATTTATTCTTTTTATATTGAAAACGTATGGTCTCTTACCGTAATTGCACCCATACAATTCTAATCTCAATGATATCCTATCCCTCCATCGAGTTGGATTTATTCTAACCCATTGTGCTATAATTGGCACCTCAAATTTATTTAGTTTTATAGTGTCCCCATCCACATTTCCTTTGAACATCTATCGAAAAAGAACAAAATCAACTACAAGTTCTCTTTTATCATAGATGTATCGTACAATCCTTTTTAGAATAACAATAAACGTTTGCACGAAAACTTTTCCCAAAGTATTGGCCGATAAAGTTTCGAATATATATGTATATATGTTACTGAAACTACATACATGTATAGGTATTTAGTTAGAATGGTAAGTACACTGTCAATAGTATTTGAGGTCTTTGTCTGTGTAAATGAATGAAAATGAATTTAATCGAGTAGATATCTCTGCATGCTTATTTATTTATATGTTAGTACAGCATTGTTAATTATCAATGCAAAGCACAGTAGCAGGTATAAAAGTTCTATGAAGAAAGTAGTACAAAGAAGTCCAACAAAATTTGTTCCCTTTTACTTTTGTAATTTAGAAAATGATTAGATATCTCATAAAAAATGATATCAAAATACAAAAAGGCAACATTATAGTTCTTTTTATGCCACCACCATTAAAAAGAATCCACTTCTACGGTGTGATGTTTACCCTTGAGTTGTACACCCTTTATTAAAACCATGTCTTCCCATTATTCAGAAGAAGGGTGGAATAGCTCGAAAGTCAGATAGTTATATGTAGTCCTATTTTGTACAGTATGTACAATCTATAAGACATGTTAAAAGAAGTTCTACGTCTTTTTTGTTTTTATAGTCAATATCTCTGTGAAGAATACCTCATCTACGCCATCCTGGCTTTCATAACTGGCCCAGGCTTGCCCATCATCGGAGTATTGGACAATGTACTCTGTCACATACTCGTTAGTATGAGCACGACCTCGTGTGGCAATGCTGCGTATCTCATATCTGTCCCCCAGTTCCACAGTAAGATGTTGATCATAACTGCTAAGCTCTGGTGACCACGTAGAACCTCCTGCAAAGCCCAGCCCCATATCCATGTGTAAAAGAAAAGAGTAGAAGCAAAGCGGGTAAGTGGATGGTGTGAAAGAGAGTGTTATGAATAATTGAATAATTGTAATGTTGACTTTGTTTTCGATTTTAGTATACGTATTTCAAAGGTATGATGCTGTACATATTATTATGTATACAAAGGTATTTATGTCTGTCCTTTGAATCACTAAATCTAGTTATTCAAGGACGAATAATTACGTTAAATACCAACTATAAATGTGTTCCAGTTTAGGTAAATTAGTTGTATGTAATTATGATATGTAACAAGTTTGATTTACTGTGTAGTAATTCTTGTAAATAACAAAAACCTTCTAAATGTGTGTAACTTTGTGCAAAACATGCAACTAATACCTACCTAAACATCATCGAAATAATGGATGGATCTAGGAGAAATAATTGATTCTTCTCATTCGCAACAAGGTGCTTACCTAAGTCGAATAGCAAGTGCTTAACCTAAACTACTACCATTACAATAGGCCAGTGCAGTAAGTATGTATTAGTTACTCTTAAAGACACAGTATTAAGTAGCATATACCTTTCTAATTAAAATCCCCTCATGGATTATGGCTACATTAGCACAGACACTGATTCAAAAGACGTAGATCGGTTTACCTTAACATTACCATCTTCTTCTTTGAAATCAACGTAGTCCAGGCCATTTGTACCATAACTGATACCATACTCCATAACATACTCATTTTGAACTGCTCGTCCCTGGGTCGCCACAGCTGTGATGTTCATTACTTGACCCAGGTCGATAATAAGGTACTGACCAAAGTCTGAACTGCTAGCCGTCCATGCGTTTCCGCCTACGCCACAACATATACGCATGCATGCAACTCAAAATGAACTCAAGGAAGCAGTCGTATTTAACAAGATAGATAGATCTATCGGAGAATTAAGTACTACAATATTTATTATTCTATAGTAAACATAAAATTAGTTTACGGTAACATAATTTGTAAGGAATTTATTGTCTCATTGGAGAATCAGGTTTCTACATAGATCTTGTAGTACTTACATTAAACATAGTCACATTCATTGGGTAATTATATTATCGATATTCCCGGATTTACCTGTCGGAATTGTTTTTTTTCCGCAATAGTTGAAAGCAATCACTATTGAAGGGACAGTATAAAAGGAAAAGCTGTAAGATTACACGTTATTTTTGAAGTAATCCCTTTCCCAAGCAAGAATGAGAAAATATAACATTGTCAGGTATGTGTATTGTACATATCCAACATGTAATCTATAAATAGTATAGGAAAAAATGTTATTTATATAAAAAATATATTGATATGATCTACAGCAATCAATAAATTATACTTTAAATAGCACAAAGGACGATCCATGTTTAATGTAGATGAATAATTAAAAACATGTGACAATTCAATTAATACTGAATAATATTCTATAATCTATAAGAAGGTGAAATAAAGTTCATACAATTGTTTCTTATTAATTTATTATACCCACTGACTGAATTCATATAGTTATGTCTGTACATCTTTGTTATAAGTTGCAAAAGTTGGCTGATAACCCACGGAAAAAAAGTAATAATAGATCAAATATCTTACAACTTGAACCTTATGTAGTTACGGATGTTCCTCTTTTTTAAAGTATTTTTCGGTATATTCTGAATCTTCCGAAAATAATGGAACAGTATTCGCAAAGAGTTTATCACTACTTATCATTTCAAAGAGATTATTTTGCATCTGTGGAGCTTTTCCATTTTCTTGTAATGCTACAGCTACGCAATGCTGTGAATCTAACAATGTTTCTTGAAACAACCAATCTTGTTTTATACCGTTTATGTTCAAGATTGTATCAGTGGTAACAGAATTCTGTTTGAGCTCTGAATTTGTTTTGAAATCAATGGACCTAAGATCAACTGTAATGCCTGTACCTGTAGCCTTCACGTAACTTTCTTTTAATGCCCAATGCCTGCAAAACATTCTAATTTGTTCAAACTCATTAACGGACGAGTCGTTTATTTCGTTCCATTCGGAAGATGTGAAATTTCTATTCATTATGCGAAAAAATTCCTGCAATTCTTTCCCGCCGGTATATTCAAGTTTCATTACATCTACACCTAGCGTCATCTTTCTCGTTTCACCTACCAATACAGTGTAATCACCTTGATGGGATACATTAAAACTTAAGCCCAAAGACACATCCCTCAAAATGGGTTTATTACATTTATCCCTTGCAAATACAATTTCATTATATGGAACACTACCATATGCATTAACAAACTTTCTCATCATTATTCTACCTGCAAGAGAAGCCCTAACTTCCTTACGAAAAACAAATCTGCCTAATCTTTCTTTCTCCTCTAACTGTACGCAAGAAACAGCATATGCAAAGTCCTTCTCGCTTGGATTCCATTCCTTCCAATTGAATGCCCATCGAATACTTTGAAACATTTTTGTAATATTAACTTTATCCATTAATTCAGTCTGTTAATATGCTAATACTCCAAAAATTCCTATTTCTTCCTGTTGTTATACACAGCTTTTTTAAAAAGTTCTTGTCATTAAAAAACCAGGCTATTCTTTAGCATCCACCTGAAGCAAATAGACAAGAGAACATTACTCAAAAGTTTAAATAAAAAATGTTAAATTTTTTTCAGAAAATAATATTAATATTGTTAACTATCCGAATAACAATGTAGACATTATAAAAATATGTAATCAGATGTACAGAATAACTGTGTGATGAGTCAGTGAGATTAATTCAGCTAATTCAGATCTGAAGTTCCTTTAATTGAGCTAAATATGTGGGTGGGTGTTTACAAGATCAACACCCACTTAACACACTCTGGTCTTCTAAAAACTAACATCTCTTTCTCTCTCTTAATTTAGAGATACAACAATACATACACAACAATATGAAATACACTACCTGCTTTGTTATTCAATGTAATTTTAAATACAGACAAAGAGAAACAATCTTAACAATAACTATAGATCATTGTTTCTTCAAAGTATAACAATATATAGATAGCAAGCAACAAACTACTAATAGTGGAATGTATCTATACTCTCATTAAAAGTAAAATGACTTAAGGAATATTATTACGTAAATATGTAGATAAATATGCAATTTAGGATTTATTAGAAAGCCAAAAGACACATTACCATTTAGTCTTGCATTGTATGGACCTCTTTCAGGTAATTGTGATGTGGCTCTTAAATGAGCTCTGTCCAAAAGTGGTTCATTACACTCATCATCTAATTAACATTAAAATTGGAATTAACAACATTGTTCGCAAGATACACCATTCGAGATTTCTTCAATGTTTCTTTAACATTCGTAAATAAGTGAAGTGTATTTTTCGTCGTTTATAAAGTTCACGTAAAAAAAGAAATATTGATTAAGTAGTTGAACCAGAGGAGTTAATTTTACATAATAACCGTCCAAACACTACGGTGGTTTGAGTAGTGTAGAAACATTACGGTACATTAAACGTGTAATTACGGCGTATTAATGTTACAAATAGTTTTATATTTTACATTTATGCACGCTTAAATTGCATTAGAAATTCGAGATGCATTCATTTCCCGAATGATCTGTTATATGTTAACTGGAATACGCCATGTTGTGTAAAATGGGCTTGGCTGTATTGAATCATCTCGAATATAATGGGCAATTTTCTGGGAATGGATTTTCAATAATTGATAAAACGATGGTACTTACATGCAGAAGTAAGTGAGTTACATATAATTGCGAACACGAACACAAAACACCTGATAGTACTCATGGTATCATTGCCCTTTTAAAGAGCATCAGAGCAACACACGAGTAACGTACTCCTGAGCGGGACGCGTTGTTGAAACTGTTACTCGCTGTTCACTAAATTCCCACCAGTTATATTTTTACATATACATACTGTTACGCACACTATTGAAAGTTAGTCGGTAACGTCGATTCAGTTAACTTGGTCGGCAATTTAGATTGTCAATCGAATCGATTATTAACCTTAGTCGGTAATCTAGGTTGTCAGTCGAATCGATTGTATATATGTATACAATAAAAATCGATCGAGTCAAATTAATGGGGACAGAAGAATGTGTACATACATACGACATAACTACTACTACAATCTATATTGAAATTGAATAGTGCTGAGTCGAATTTCACTTGAATTGTGGACAATCAGCGATAAAGATATTATTTCTCCAATAAGAATGTAAGTAAGAAAAAACACACCGATACTGAATAAATAATTAGCATATTCATACAACTTACAATTAGTGCCATTCAGATTATGTAACATATTTGTACGAGGTTAATAAACAGATAATGGACGCCGAATCGAATCGTAGCGTGGAGGGAGATGAAGAAGATGAACAAAAGGAAGTTAAAATCAGAAATCTGGAAAAAAATGATGTAGATATAGATCAGTTTGAAAGTTCTATATATGTCTACGACTTGTTTGACGAGGTTGAAGAGTACGAATACGTATCGAAATATGAAAAGGAATGGGATGATGTCGAGAGGGATGAAAGACGTTAGTCGCTATTTGTTTTTTGAAACTTCAAAGTTACAGATAATATTATTATCATTTTACAGTCCTGTCTAGGGAACCAGTTGATTGGGAAAAAGAGGTGAAAGAAACAGTGCATCTCGAGATTGAGCCGAAAGAAAGACGCAGAACCATCTACCAACTCGATTCGTATGCATCTTCCGGTCCCTCGGTGCACGACATTCTGAAGCTTGGTTCGATTGATGATATTGCCAAACAGGAGCCACGAAAAGAAATCCGGTACTCCACTTCAATGGTAAAGCCCTGAATTACCGTCAAACATCTAAGGTCAACCAACAAGGTCTGGCACTTTGCAATCTGGGCTTTCTTTCTCTTTCAAAAGACATTCGTAGTTTAGGAGGGAAAATGATTTTCAGCGCGCGCTATTTAAACACAGGGAAACTGCAAGGTGGCGCTTCGAACGTTTCCAGTCGAATTTAATAAATTCCAATTTCGTGTAAACACTAACTGAGGCTTACTTTGAAATTGCTTTCAGGGTATGCCAGGTATAGCAAGGATAAATCTATCACCCCTGACGCAAAAAGTAATCGGTTGCGTGATAGGGGAGAACGTCAGCACTGAATATCCTTGGGTATACATTAGGAAGGAGATTATCCAAGACAATATCGATCTCCACGAAGAGAGCAGTGATTTTTTGCCGGTGAAAGACAAAATATACGAGTTCCCGGACCAAAAAATACTTATCGGCTATGTTCCGTCGCTAACTCAAGAGGGACAATTCTACATTTGTTTGACCCCCGAGGGACAAGAAGCAGTCATAGAATATATCAGGAAACAGAGGGAAGGGCTTGAGAACCGTGTCAGGAACGCGGTTTATAAACCGCTGGGCAAATGGGAGGAGCTTGGAAGCAGCGTAGAAATCGAAGCGACTATCGTTACAAATACAAGGCCACTTTTAGAGCTCGAGGTATCAGATAGAGCGAAATGGGATGGACGTTATTAAAGTATTTATACTATATGTATAATTATATACTCTCTTAGTATATATCTACCGCCGAGGTGCTGAACACAGAGCTGCAACTGGTAGACAGGGCAGTCGACGATCAAATAGACGGATATGTCGAACTGCTTCCTTATCGTCAAACTTTCGAAAATATATCACGAAGACTGATGCAAAATGCGACACAAGTGACGCGAAAGATTCGCGACATCGAGGCGCAGACGGTAATTTCAACGCCCACAAATTGCTGGAGCCAGTACGGCTACGAGTACAAGTCACCGGATATTTCGTCCTTCAACGAGGAACAACTGGATCAACTGAGGAATTTTCTTCGTCGTTTCACGGACGAAGTGTGCGATGAAGTCAGTTTTAGTTTTAGTTTTAGTTTTAGTTTTAGTTTTAGTTTTAGTTTTAGTTTTAGTTTTAGTTTTAGTTTTAGTTTTAACACTCCCGCGACAATATTCTACGTTGTCTGACATTGTGCTTCTTGTATTGCCAAACCTTCGAATAGAATTATACATATTGTACGTCCACAGGTACTGTTAAACGACACTTGGGACATCTACACGAACGACTATATGAACTTGGTGCATAATTCGAGAGATACGCAGTGGTCCGTCCCAGAAAGCTACAAGGAACATCTGAGTTTTCATTATGGTACTCATGTGGTGGAGAAAGTGATCAATGATGTTTCATGGCATACGCTGTGGACAGGAGTTCTATTTGCTGCCTATACACGGTACTCGAAGAGTCACCGTCTAGTTGGTCCTAAATTGATCGAGGATGTGAGTACTGCTTTTGAAAAATGTATGCATGGAAACTCGATGTTCCCTTCTGAGAAAGGAATCGTGTTCCGCTTTGTCGATCCTTGCATCCTCAACGTAGGTGCTGAAGGCTGACCACGATAATTACGTCTTGGTATGGTCGTTTAACGACAGTTTGACACCGAAATTAATTCTCGAGTGTACAAGAGAGGTAACTACGGTAGCCACAAATCCACTGGAACCGAATCTGATCGTGGGTGGCTGCGAAAACGGCCAGTTAAGTAACACTAGCCTAAATAAAATACGCATTTTTGTTATGTTATAAAACTACCGTATAGACTTATTCTTCATTTATCGAGTAATCTGTAGGTCGTGGTCTGGCATATACCCGGGAAGATCGAACAGATCGAGACAGTAATTGTAAAAACCCCGGCGCAAGTGAAGCACAAGCTCGCGATAAGGCATCTAACTACGTGGCTGCGACAAATATCGGGAACCTGCACAATCAGACCGACCGCGATGTCTTCGTTGAAGGACAGTCAAAGAGGAACGATAACACATATATCGTGGCTCCCGCCTTACAACAAAGTCGATGAAAATGGAATAATATCATCGTTACCGGAAGACGTTGCCGAGGATGAATTAACAGTTCAATTTCTTACCGCTAGCGATGATGGCACGATTGCCTTCTGGGATTTAAAGTTAGTGGACTGATAGAATCACTACACGCAAGATTGTCCTGTTCTTCTGTAACATAAACACTGTAATCGTTCGTTGTTTATCGCAAGGCGACAAAAATTGAAAAGTGATAAGCATCGAATCGCGAAGAAGAAGTGGCCATTGAAGCGACCCGCGACAATGAAAGCCGCTTCACCGTATAAGCATCTTGATCGTATCTTCCAACCACATTACCTGCTAATAGTACAACATCCCGATATCAGCCGTCGAGTGCGGATAACTACCCTTAGTATCTTTGTACCGACATTTGAGAAGAAGCGCGTCGATCTCGTTCCACCTGCGAAGGACATTACCGTTAGAAGATTTTTTAAAAATATAGTGGAAAAACCGGATTACGAGATGCTGCCGAGAATATGCGTGGGCACTGTTGAAGGTGGGTTGATAGTCGGTCTAATTAGTCCGGTCAGTTGAACCAACGGATTCGAGAGCAGCTGGTAACGTGCCTCGGATACTTGTTATCATTAGGTGACTTCGGTTGCGTCGAGTGGAAGGGATTCGAGTTTTCCACCGATGTAACTGTCCACACAGAGACTTGCGAATGGTCCTGGTGCAAGAAGGTACACGACGGACCGATAACTCACTCGGTAAGACCTAGGATTTACAACGATATCGTAGCCACGATAGGAGGGAAAATATTTGCCATTTGGAAGGAGACATTCGATACACCGTTAATGTGGAAGAAATCGACTGTTGGGTAAGGATTGTACGTTTAAGGCAGGGTATCCAGTCGTGAGAGAAAGTGTTGTTATAAAAAGGTACATGTTATAATCCATGTGTACGATTATAACGGGTGTTTCTCGAATTCAGATACAGCGCTGCGTCATGGGGCAGCTATCGTCCGACCGTCCTGATTTTGGCACGAATGGATGGCAGCATCGAGATCTGGGACTTTGTCGTGAAAAGCGAAGAGCCCTGCATCGTTCAAAGTCTATCGGGTCGTATAATTACGGGGATTTATACTCATCCCTTGTATTTGAATCCACAGTGTGTAGGATTTTGCGACTTTAATGGCGCTTTAAGGATGTTCTTGCCACCGGACACATTTCTGAAATCTGACAAGGCCAACGAACGGTGGATGACCAATTTTATAAAACGACAAGTAATGAGGGTAACGATCTCGGTGGCATCTATACTATAACTATATGTATAGGCGGTAGTCTCACAGATGAAATAAGCATTGCTTTAATGAAAAATAAAACGATTTTCTCCATTAAGTCAGAGTACTAGAATATAATCGAATCATCAATTGTACATTTCAGATAGAGAATTGCAGAAATTGGCAGAAATTATGGCGGGAGACGCATCACGAGATAATTGAAGAGAAACAGAGACTGGTGCAGCACATAACGGAAAGGAAAAAATTAGAAGAGACGGAGAGGGCTAAAGACAAATTAGCAGAGGCGGACACAACTACGTCGGAAGTAGCGAAGACTACGACGGTATTTAATCGCAATGATTTATATCGAATCTAGCGTCATAGTATGAGAGCTCGAAAAAATGCGGATATCTCGTGATTGGTAATATCTTACATGCGTAGACACCATTGGAAATAATCGCTGAAGCGCGAGAAAGATGGAAAGCGATGGAATTAAAACGTATGCAACATGTTCTTTTGGAGAAGAAAGGTTTGAGAAAGGACGAGCTCGAAAGACAACGTGAACCTATATTGAAGATGCGAGAGGACGCGCAAAAGAAGAAGGAGAAACTGCAGGAAACGCTGAATATGCAGAATGACATTTGTAATCACACGATGAGTATGTTTTTCCCTGAGCGTCAACCGGAAAACGTACGCGTTTCGTTGAGTCCGCCGATGCAATCTGGTCCAAGAAAAACCCAAATGGATGTTACGTTGACGGACACGATCCTTCAGGGAGAAGTACTTCAGGTGAATCGGCAAGTAAAAGGCAAAAAGACAGTTCTGGGTATAAAAATATATGGCTGGTTTTTTATCAGCATAACATTAGTAGTCAGGCTTGGGATTATAAATGTATACATTGCATTTAATATGACGGCCATTTCTTGAATGTTTTGATTAATTCGAAGGATGTGTCTTACATTGATCCGGACGAAGAGATTGTGTATAATTTCATGGAGACGCAGACGGAAGTGTTGGCATATCTGCAGAAGAATCCCTTGATTCATACGTTCGATTGGCGGACAACGTTACGGGAAGGGAAATCAAGACGAGTCTCGATGGATTACCAGTTAGAAAATAAATTTAACAAGGCGAAGAAGAAATAAGTTATTGGAATTGGGAGAGCTTCTGATTCTACTAAAACAATTTGAAATGAACATCCTAATAGAGACACGATTTTGAACCTAAATCTTGGGCAAAAATTATTTCAATATTCACTGGTCGTGCTCTTTTTGTACCCGCAGGCCTTTTGGACATTTGAAGGTCGTCAACATTTTCGTCATGCGTGCCTTGTACTTCGAGTTGTCGGACGATAAAAACAGTGATCCATATTAGGGGATAAATTTTTAATTCCATAAAAATAACGAATAAATAATCATTCGTACCATTCGTATTAATTATAACTATTGTCCAACACTGGTTTCAATTAAGGCGATAGGCTTGATGCACAAGAGTACCACGGTTGGAGTCTAAGGTGTTTTTATGATACGAATGGCGATTCTCTATCCGAGTACAGCTGATCAAAATTGGGCGTGACAAGTGACAAGTCATTAAGACCAGACGGAAAAGGAAAGACAGGCTATAACTGGGCTAATGTTGTTTAGAGACATTGATGTGGATTTTAGAATCACTCGGTTACCACATATTGGTCGTTCTGGAAGCGCGTGCGCGCGCGTGTGTGTATGTGTACATATATGTATATATGTATATGTAATGCATAACTTATAAAAATCGGCCTGAGATCGAAGGTGAGTGGGGTTGCATGATATCGACTCCTGTATAAACATAAGTTCCACCAACATCCAGCCAGTTGGTCAATAATCGTGATACTGAGCATCTACGTCGTCTTTGTAGCGGCATCCTTTCACTTTCTGCGCTTCTTTCTCAAGGTTAGAGTCTTCAATAAATATACATACATGATGTAACAACTACGAAATTGCGAGTATTTCAAATCATAGATGTTACAGTCTATATACTGTTGTTATACAAACTACAAAATGTTGTTCTCATCTCAAACACGATTAAAAAATGTTTCATTTTAATGTATATAATTCGAATAATATATTAACGTGCTTTCGGAGAAAGATATTTCCGGTGAAACCAATCGCAGTTGCGTAAACATTTAGAGAAACAGTGTTTAGTTTAGATTCAAGTAATCCGGTAGAATGATTCATAAAATCGGTGTCATAGGTACCTCGATATAATTTATTACGTATCCTTTCAGGGAATTTACAATGCATCAATCAGTGGCATTGCTTTTCATCGTTATCGGTGTTGCTGTGGCAAACGTAAGATCGGAAATACAATGTAATTTAACTATAATAAGACTTAATTGCAAATCGGATAGAGATAATCCTACTAACAAAAAATAACACAAAGTTCTTCCGTGTGTGTTAAAAGAAATATTTTATTCTTGGACGATTTCACCGCCGTCATTTTGGTACCATATTGAAGTTTCTATCGAGGAGAGATATCATTATTATCGTATTATTTTTTTTACGTAAAAATCATTCGAATATTCATTTCTTTCAATTTGTATACTTTTCCGTTAGCAACAAACGTTACGGGCAGTCGTACATCTAACGCCTGACAATGTAGAAATCGCGAACGTAACAGGATATCTCATTCTTACTCAAGACGAAGAAAGTTGTCCAGTGAAAATGACTGGCAAAATATATGGTCTTTCCGAAGGGTTACATGGTTTCCACGTACACGAGAAAGGAGATATACGGCAAGGATGCCTTTCAGCAGGTCCACATTTTAATCCTACTAAGGTATGTTGTAAATTGTAAAGAATGTAACATTTAGACAATACGTGGTAATAATGTTGTAACATGATAATAATTTTACATATTCCTATGGGAAAAAAATACCATTTCACGTTTAGTCAAATATCAGTTCCTTTCTTTGTTTTATATATTTAACTTCCAGATAATCCTTGATCCCTTATAATAATTTTATTACTTAAAATATCTTTTTTATGATTACTTGTTAATTTTCTATTTGATATGTATGTTAATTAAGTATATTGTAAAAATTAATAAGTACGACAATCTATGCATCCGCAGGTCACGCACGGTGGACAACGTAGTCCTGTGAGACATGTTGGGGATTTGGGTAACATTTTGGCAAATGCTCATGGAGAAGCTAGTGTGGATATCACAGATTCTTTAATATCTCTCGCCGGACCACACAACATTCTCGGACGTGCTATTGTTGTTCATGCCGGTGAAGATGATTTAGGATTAGGAATGAGTCCAGACTCTTTAACTACTGGAAACTCTGGAGGTCGTGTAGCTTGCGGCACTATCAGTGCTTCATAATGTTCTCTTTTTATTACACAAATTTTCGATAAGAATCTTTAGAAAATATTTAAGTATCAGAATATATGAAAAAGGTATAATCTATTATATTTTTATTGTCTTATACTCACTTGTTTCCAGTTATGCGTACTCTGTTATTATGGATACCTTTTAGTTCTCTTAGAATTGACACTCCTTTACACTAATCTGGTGACCATCAGACGTCCCGGATTAGGCGGGATTGTTCCGGAAAGTGTCCAAGATTGGATATGTAACTTTTTTAATATTTTCGCAGTGGCACACATTAAAGTTACTGTTTCCTGTACTATATTGTATACGCATATGTATACTATGTAGATAGCACCATTAAGGGGCAATAAATGTTTCTACAGTAAACGTAATAAACTAAGGCACTAAGGAAATGGTGCTTTCAAAAATATCTTTTGGACAAATAAAACATTATTTATATACACTGTTTATTTTGTTTTTTTTTTAATTTTACACAACGCTTAATTAAAGGCACATTATTTGGAAATAAAATAATTTCTTTTAATTGTAACATATTTTATGCTTAAATAATAGATAAATCTAAATACGGTCAAAATTACCCGTACGGCTAACACTATCCATACAAAACTATACAAATGTCGCAAACAAAAAGTTGGGACGGTCAGGACCGCACATTCGTATTGGAAGGCAATATTGAGCCGTGGAGTATCGATATATCGATATATCATTGCCTAAAATATCGATACAAAATATCGATATTTACATGTATCCGAATTGTATCGAGCATCCCTAATTCCAATATAAATTTAATTCAAACATATCCTTCTGGAAACTAATTTTTCAATTTTATAAAAGACAAGCGTTTCATACAAGTGATTAATTTAATAACATCACGACTTAGTAGTTACAATTTTATCATATTCTTTCATAAGAGACGTAGCAAACATGGACGGGGTCATTTGTAACAAGTGTTTTTCTACCGCTCATAGAGGGAAACAACCGTTCTGTTTGACACAATGCGGTCATATATATTGTAACGGATGTATTCAACAAGGTAAGAATGAGGAAATTCAAAGACAGTACTTTACATTGTAAAATAAAGACTAAAAATAACATAACAAAGTAGAACATTATTTCATGATTTAAACTTATACGAATTATTATCTTTCGTAATGTAGCAGAGAAACAATGTCCTCAGTGTCAACAAGCGGACATTTATTCCGTAGAATTACAACAACCCTCCTTGTCGAGGGTAGAAAATTATTTTGTTCCACTCAACGAATCATTGGAATCATTGAACAAAATATATGGTTTTCAAAGTAATCAAATGAAGATCGTAATACAACGTTTTCTTGAAATTGTTAGTTATTTTGCAAGCTTTATGCGTATTAAATAAAGAAATGTGGTTAATCGTACGGTTAAATTCAAGGATAAAAAATACGAAACACTGAAGTCTCATTATTATAATCTGGCTCAGAATATGAAATTACATAGAGAAAAATATAATAAGATAAAAATGGTGAATGCAGAACTAAGAAAAAAACTCATATCTATTGAGATACATAATAAAACGTTAAACTCTTTGAGTGATACTTCGACACCAATTAATTCTACAAGCAAAGGAAACAGAACAAGGTATAGAATATATTATTATAGATTAATGAGCATATTGCATATATTGTTCTATGTTCTACAATGTACATAAATAAAATAAGTGAATAAAATTATATATTTTTACATTTGCAGGAACACTGTAAATTCATATTTATCATCTTATGGATCTAATATGTCATGTCAATCTTTCAATGCAAGAAAGGAATGTGCAATGTCTCATGGTTTTCGTATACCCAACCCTCAATCAGCAAAGTTAACTAGTTCTCGTGGAACTTCAGATACAAACTCTACCTATACATTTAGACGATAGATAAAATTCCATTTTATATTATACATTGTGGAGTTTAATGTTTAAGTTTTCACAAACTTGTATACATTCATTAAGTAGAACTGTAAAAAAGGGTGAAGTTTATTTTTAGTTTATTACAACAATCAATTTCATATTTATCATTATTTATGTTTAAAAGACAGATTATAAAAAGCTTTTGGTCTAGGAGTTAATGGGTTTAAAAATTAATATTTATTAATTAGTAAAAACAAGATACAAGGATTGGTTATAATGTTAGAAAAAAATTAACAAAAAAATAAAGACACAATCTGGAAGCAAGTAGTAAACGTGTGTATACATATACATGAGTACCCAACACATTTACACACACGAAGTTTATGGATTCGTTATCAAAGTACTAATTTTCTCGTTTTTCCACTCTTCTATATAATATTAAGAGTATTAGTGGGTATATTCACCCCATTCGTCCGCTATTTAAAACAATAATTTATACATATATATATATATATATATATATATATTAAATTTACGAGACGGAAATGTATAAAAATTAAATTGTAATAATCTATTGAATTATTATTTTAATAATGTAATTTTTATTTTCAACAATAAACTGGTATTTGTCTTCGTTAGTAAACTATAACGTAAATATGTACATAAATACGACGTAATCTTTGGTTAGAAACGTTCGAGCATACTATGTATGTACTGTACTTACATGTGTACGTATGTATTTATATATTTATTTGGATACATGAATTTTTGTGTCTCGTACAATTTAAGTGTTTCATTAAATATCAGTACCAAATGACAACAGATAAGGAACATTTAAACATAATAAATACGAAATTTATTTTCGTTTCTTCGTTGATAGTAAGTGAAATTTGTTTTTTTGTCCATGTAATTAAACGTAATATTTGTAACAGTGTGTAGTAAATACAATGCAGAATTTGCGGGAAATTTAAATAACATCTCATATTTTACAGATTTATTTTATCTACGAAAACATTTGATATTTTAAATAATTTTTTAACTAAATATTCCAAATTTTTAGGCTGGAGGATTAGCTGGTACTTCTGTTGACTTAGTGTTATTTCCATTAGACACACTGAAAACACGGTTGCAAGCTAAACAAGGATTTATAAAAGCAGGAGGATTTTCTGGTCTTTATAAAGGAATTCTTCCAGTAGCAATTGGTTCTGCACCTACTGGTAAACTCCATAATATACATAGAATACAATATAAATATGAAATTTCTTGAAATCAATTGTATTTCGTGTAATATTTTAGCATCGCTGTTTTTTGTGACTTACGAAAGTATTAAAACTGTAGCACAATGTAAAGTTCCTGGAAAGTATTCATCCTTGCTTCATATGGGTGCAGCATCTTTAGCAGAAATGGTAATACTTGCTCCTATTATCAAAATCGAGTTAAGTTTTCATGTATTTCTGATACAGGTAACATGTCTAATACGAGTACCCATAGAAATAGTGAAACAAAGGAAACAGGCCTTAGTTTCAAATACAAAGGACATTAGTCTTAGATTACTGTATCGTGGGTACTGGAGTACTGTATTGAGAGATGTGCCTTTCAGCTTCATTCAGTTTCCTCTATGGGAATATTTTAAGAAAGTGTACAGTGTATACATAGACAGAAATATTCTTCCAATGGAGAGTGCTGTGTGTGGAGCAGTTGCAGGTTTAAAATTTATTTAGTTACACATTACTGTAATCTCGTTTAATTTATAATTGTTTACCTAAAAATTGTTAGGGGGTATATCTGCTATTGTTACCACACCATTAGACGTTATAAAAACAAGAATAATGCTTGCTCAAACAAATACAAGATCTTCGCATCTGAAAATGCTGTATATACTTCAAGACATTTATAAAGAAAGAGGTTTATCTGGGTAAGATTTGTCTTCGTGAATTATACCTGTACACTGTATTATAATAGTAAGCCCTTCAATTATTTTGCAGACTTTATGCTGGTGTTGGTCCCCGAGTTATGTGGATAACTTTAGGAGGATTTATTTTTTTCGGTACATTCGAAGAAGCAAAAGCTTTAGTAGTAAAATACATTCTACATCCACATACATTACAGAAGGATACCATTTAAGTAATAATAATGTACACAATTGTATAACAATGCAATTCGTATAAATTTATATTTGTGAGTATAAATTAATTCTTTTAACAATTATAAAATATTACAAGAATATATGAAAATATATTTTATATTCACTTGTGGTGGTCATATAAATATTTCACATATGATACTAAATATTGACAAAAAACAACTTGAATATAGTCATTTTTGTTATAATCAGTTAATAGGTGAATATTCGTTTAAAAAAAAGTACTTTTATACTTTTTATTTTTAAAGTTTAGACTTCAAACTTTGCATTAATTTTTCTAATTTCATTGCTTTCTGGAGATTACCTTGGATTCTTAATTTTCCCATCATGAATGCTGATGTTGGTTTCAATTTTCCTAGATATTCATAAACAATGAAGGTTCTAATGTAAAGAACCAGTTACATAAATTTAATATTCTATTTCAGTATAATTACTCACCAGTAAACATTGCAAAGAAGTTCTGAGAGTCCATTGTTAATGTGGCATCTGGGGGTTGACTTGGTTCTCCTTTCCCCATCGAACCTTTACCAGTTTTAAGGTCCAAGTACCATGTACCAGCTTCGTCGCCTATGATATTTATATCAAACAATGCATTTAACTATTACGAATCGTTAAATGTACATTGTATGTGGATTATTACGAATCACTGATTACCTTTAACATTAAATTGAAATACAGCGCCTGTTTTGTTAACTAGTTCGTTGCTTAAATTAGCTTCAATAGCAGTAAATACTTGTTCAATCTTTAAATTTGATTTACTACTATCCTGTATACTCTCAGTCTTCTTTTGCGAGTAACTATTTTCCAACTGACCTTGCAAACTTAGTTCCGCTAGATTGTCTTCCAAGAAGAAATCAAGCATTAAATTGTTCTTATTTGCTAAAACAGAAAACAAGATTATAATTTTATACAGATTAAAAACCGTATATTTAACCTTTTGAGTGCCAGGGATCATTGCAGAAACTTTGTCGAAAAGTGCCAAACGGCGCGATGGCGCTTGTTTCATTTTACGTAGACGAGTGCTAAGATGTCGTTTTTTTATAATATTCCCGTCGAAATCGAAAGGAAAAACAATTTGGTTTAGTGGCACTTTGCGACATGGAATCTGAACAGCGTGATTGCGCTGCGTGGCACTCAAACGGTTAAGTAATCGTGTCTAATACGCTTACCTGGATTGCACGCATAGTTAGTAAAATCGGTAATTCCCTCGCTTTTCAATAGTTCTTCGTCGATTAAAAATTTTCCAGTGACAGACTTACTGTCTTTACAAATTAACGAATAAACAGCATCTCCCATTATCTCAGGCTTACGGCTATAATTACTCGAATCAGGACCAGATAGCACTTCAATTGCAGCAGTATAAATAGCTTAAACGATAGCAGAAAACGTCTAGTTATTCAAAAAAGCAAGTAACAAATTAAATTTAATAAGAAATGCATGCAGCAACTTATAATAGCAACATGACTGAATTTCAGGTTTACCAGTTTTTGGCCAAACTGCATTCACAGCAATACCATCCCCTTTAAACTCCTCTGCCATACCGAGGACACACATAGACATACCATATTTAGACATAGTATATGCAACATGATTTTTAAACCATATTGGTTTCATACTCAATGGGGGACTAATATTTACTATGTGTGGATTATGACTCCTCTTTAGATACGGTAAACAAACTTTGGACCTTGAAGTGATAACATTACACAATTATCTGAAATGTTTCTATTATCTGATTTGAAAATTCAGTTAATGTACATTGTTATCATTAATGAACATTTATACAGTTTATATACTTACACCAGAAATGTTCCCCTGATATTGATGTTATGCATAAGATCATATCTTTTCATATCTGTAGAGGCTGTGCCTGTTAAAGAAATTGCACTTGCATTATTAATAACAACATCAATACCACCAAATTTATCAAATGCTTTCTCTACTGCAGCAACTACTTGTTCTTCATTCCTTACATCTACAACACAAGGTAATGCTTTTCCACCTGCTTCCTCAACTAAAACACAATAACATTTTCTTTATTATTTTTTTTATAAGAAAATATTGGAACAGTATAACATGATACTTAAAATTGTCATTCTAGGTAAAATAAAAATAATTACTCTCTGTAGCTGCAGTATATATTGTGCCTGAAGTAATAAAAATAGTACGACCAGCAAGTTTTCTATGTTAAAAATTCACAGATGATACTATTATCTCAATGGTAATTCCTTTATTTGTTAACAGCATTCACAATTATTTATCACCGTTACAATAACTAGAATATTTTGATATAATTTACATTACATACCCTGTATTGATCATATTGTAAATAGATCGTCGATCTGTCAACGGCAATAACCCTTATAATGAAGTTTCAGATTATTCTATTTAATTGCACCAACGACAACGAAACGGAGGTTTCTTTCACTAAGCAAAGTGAGATCTGTACACTACGAATAAATTACACCCCAGTACGGTACAATGTCCAGTTCCTAAATACTGTTAAATACACACATATATATGTGAAGCTGTGAACGGGAGTGGAGTGGATTTTCCCTTTCCATCTGGTTAACGTATTCTCCAACCATGTCAACTCCACACGAGCGTGTGACACCACCACTCACCACTCACCACTACACTTATATCATTGCTTGAATTTTTATTTATACACACATCACACCTTGCACACACTTTTGCCTGCAGCAAGTCAGTGAAAACGCAGGAGGAGAAGAGTCGTGAAACAGTCAGTAATGTTTGTCAAAAACAAATTTTTACAATATGTAATAATATCGTAAATAAATACGACGAAGGGATTTTGTATATATATGTATGTAAGTACGTATGTACATACATGCATACACATATTTGTAGGTTAAGGTTATGTTTATATATACCGGTGAACAATGTGCGGTATATTCTGTTATGTTTCACAAAACCAAAAGAACAATTCGCAAGTTCCAAATGAGGTAGTATTACTGTAATGTTATTAAAAGTAAACCTCTATAGTCTGATTGCAGGAGTATATATTACTGATGTTATATTATTCTATGTTAGTGGAACTATTGTAAGGATTTAATATTTGCTCGTGGCCCTGACAGTATTACTGAAAGGATTGAACATTTAACTGAAAATTGGTGTGGTCACTTTGCAGCTTCTGTATTATGGATGCAAGGTACCAATTTGAGTGTACAACCTGCCATAGATTCTGCTGGTAATATTCTTTTATGGAATGGAGATGTATTCTTTGGAACATTGGTAAATATCTTGTAACAAAGTATGAGATCGCATTTGCTCCATTGCCATATATTTATGTCTCGAATAGTTGTCTACTAATTGTATTCTTTGTTTCAGATTCAAGATGATATATGTGACACAGATTTCCTATTGAATGCACTTCAATCATCTTCAAATGTAATGTCTGTATTTCAAGACATTCAAGGACCATATAGTTTTATATATTTTCAAAAGACCAGTAATCTAATATACTTTGGTAGAGATGTTTTAGGACGGCATAGTTTGCTTTTAAAATCAAATACGGATGAAAATATTTTAACATTAACATCTGTTGCTCATAAGCAGATTAATGGAGTTGTAGAAGTTCCTGCAATTGGTATTTTTATGATGAACTTGGCTAATTTGAGATTAAATCTTACATGCTATCCATGGAGGGAACCAGATTTAAGATTCACAGATGTTATTGAAGCATTAGAAATGCAATTAAATGTGGATATTGATATTAAAGAAATTATACTGCATTCCAATATAACAACGAATATACACTTACATCCTAGTATTAATGATATAGAATGTTTTGAAAACTGCCCTCATTTTGAACAATCTTTCAAGACTTTAGAACACTTGTTAAAAAATAAAGATATATACAAACGAGTAGATCGTTTATCGCAACTTCTTTACAAAGCTGTGGAAGTAAGAATAAAGAAGCAACCAAAGCTTTGTAAAAATTGTATTAAACTATTCTTAAATCGAGAAAGTGTTACATGTAATCATACAAAAATAGGCATACTTTTTTCTGGGGGTCTAGATTCTGGTATTTTAACATTAATTGCTGATAAGTATGTACCACAAAATGAATGTATAGATTTGATTAATGTTGCATTCGAAAAATCCGTTAACACATTCATAAAGTCCAAAGCAAATCACGAGAAACAAGTTGTACAAGACCAGTATGATGTTCCTGATAGAAGAACTGGGAAGCAAACGTTTTTAGAACTCTTAAAGATTTGCCCTAATAGGAAGTGGAATTTTATAGAAGTACAGTATTAGAATTTTTACGTATTTCTTTTTAAAATGTTTTTAATACCGACGATTGCATAGTCACATACAATTATTTCAGGTTAATATCACTCAAGCAGAATTGCAGGAATATCGTTCTTTACGAATTTGTCATTTACTCTATCCACGTTGTACGATATTAGATGAAAGCTTAGGTTGTGCTGTGTGGTTTGCAAGTCGTGCAAAAGGTACTCTTTCTACAAGCAATCGTGTTTATGAATCCCCGTGTAGGGTACTCTTGCTAGGCATGGGTGCGGATGAATTGTTTGGTGGATATATGAGACATAGAACAATACTCAAACACAAAGGTTGGAATGCATTGGCAGAGGAACTGAGCATTGAATTAGCTAGAATTTCGGAAAGAAATTTGGGTCGAGATGATCGTATTGTATCTGACCATGGAAAGCAATCTAGACTACCATATTTAGATGAAAATGTAGTAGAATATGTTCAACAGTTAAAACCATGGGAAAGGTAAATCCAAATTTAAACGAATTGCAGTTAATAACAAGGAATTGGAATCGTTAAATTCTTTATAGGTGCTATCCAACAGATAAAATGCCATCCGGTTTAGGAGACAAGTTATTATTACGTTTATTAGCATATAAACTTGGGTTTCAAAGCACTGCCACTTTTCCTAAGAGAGCTTTCCAATTTGGATCACGAATTGCTAATAGTAAGGAAAATGCTAAGGATGTATCAAACAGATTGTGAGACAATGGTTTGTATAATGTACTTGTATAAAACAGTGAATATCTCAATTAGTGTTATAACATATAAATTCTTTAATTGTAGACCTCTTTAATATACCGCACTTTCATCAAGCTTGCGATATTCTAAGTACATTGCTGTTTTTGTTATATTCTATACTGATCCCTATGTGTGTCCTTATATTATAAAAAGATTATTTTTAATGTAGTTTTTGTACAAACCTTTTACAATACAATGTTTAATATATATCAAGTTTATAATCCCTTATGTATAATTATAGTTTACATTCATTCAGAATTTAATAGATTTTGCATAATTATAATTGCATCTCAATTTCATCACGAGAAATATCGCAATAGCGAGTATGACTCAATTTAATTTCAATACACGAATCGGGAAGTCTGATTCATTCTGATTCCTTTGATGTGTATAATATTCGAATAAAAATAATAAACAAATTATTATTTCGTATGTAAACCATAATAGCGAGTACTTAGAAACAACGGTAAATGATAGTTTTCTAAAAATTATTATATAAATAGGTATATAAATATACAATAAGCACATGATATTTTAACGGAATATTATTTACAAAAAGGTTAGAAATTATTTTGGTTTTATTCTTACAATGTATGTACTTACATGCATATATACATATACAATGTATGTCCTACATAAATATGCCTGCTTTTGGTACCTTTATTTATGTTCTGTTAAAATTATTTATAAAATACTAGAAAATTATTTCTTTTTTAGAAGTACGACTTATTTCTATGAAATATTAGTTACTGCAGAAACCACTGTGATATATGATTATATATATATAAATAACATAATGTCACAAAATACAGTTTGTCTGGACACGGAACTAAGAAAATTGAGACCTGCAGAACTGTATATGCTTGGGCAAATATTGAATATATCTGATTCGTGGAAAAAATTAATGGCTATTGTGCCAAAAGGAGAAAACTGTGCTCTTCCTAAATTTAATGCAGAACATTTCGGGTAATCCACTAAAGACATGGCTCTAGAAAAAGTATTAATATTTATTTATTCATTGTACATACCCTTATATGTAGTATGATTGAGCAAGCTGCACAGCAACAGCGAAGAAATGCAGCAGAAATATTTTTAGCGGAATGGGGAACGATGGGCAAGAAAAGACCAACATTACACACTTTATTGAACCTTTTGGTAAAAGCCGAATTATTCAGAGCAGCTGATTATGTAGCAGGAAACATATTAAAAGGTGTGATGAACAAAAATGTTCAACTGATTTTCATTGTGAAACATCAATTTTTGTTAACAGATGAACTTCCAAAACGACCAGAATATGGACCAGCAGCACCTGTAGATATATCAGAAGAAGAGATAAGAAAATTATTAGAAGAAAAAGTAGGTCCACAAGACAACACTGACTTCAGTGAATCTCTAATATTTAGATTACCTTCTGACACCAATGATAACAAGATGGTTAATTCTAATGTAAAGGAAAATATACTGAATGATAATTCTTTGGAAGGAAAAATGCAGTCCACAAAACTAGTTTCTATAAGCAAGAAACATAATAAACCGTGTTTAGAAAACATTGAAAATCAACAATCTGTAAAAGTTGAAATGTCTGACTTAATGAAATTCAATAGTGAATATAGTACAGAGGAGTGTAGAGTACTCAACAATCCTAGTATAACGAAAATAGTAAACGAATTTGCAAATACATCTAACATAAACAATAGTAACTTGCAGGAATGTATTTTGAAGAAACAGGAACTATCAACTTGCGAGTTACCTTTATTTTTAAATGAATTTGGACACACTGTGGAACAAGCGAAATTAATCCAAGAAATGGTGTCAAATGAACTTCCAGCCTTTTTGAACAATAGCATGGCTACATTCAGTAATAGTTTACAAAAGAATTCTATGAATAATTCATCCTGTGTATGTACTCTAAATATAAAAGAAAATGAAGTAGCATCTGCAGAATTGCCTCAGTGTATCGTTGAACTTGGTGCAGATTCTGCTACTAACCCAAGTAGTAATGTTTTCAATGAGCAAAAAAATATAACACAAGATGCACTGGATTCGCAAGAATTACCTATCACAGTTTTGGAATACAATGAACAACATAATTCATAGGTCATATAAAAGAGCATGCTTTATTTTTTATACACATGTTGAAGTAGGTTCAAGTTTTGGCAAAAATTAATCTTTCATAATAAGAAGTCCAAATGGTATTGTGTAGAAACGCATGCACATTTATTTAGAATTTAATAAAAATAATACATAATCATGATGACATGGATAGTGAAACTGACATCCACAGAAATACTTCAATAGTAATTGGTGTATACAAGTGAACGTATTCATATCGTGGATTATTCTTACACTAATACACTTAATGTTAATATAAACTTTTTTGTGAAAAATGATACACTTTCTATAGTATCATTATGTACAATAGTATATATCTGTTCTACGAAGTCTCTAGATATTGAGACATAATTAAATTTATCAATGTAAAGGAACTCGCGCATATATCACATTGCACATTGACACATGAACATAGATGCATAAAACTTTGGACGTAATAGAAACATTTATTAAGTCTTTTTAAATTCGATAAGAAATACAAGATTACCGAAAAATGCAATCATGGTTATGTCTACCCATCACTATTATTACTCTGATTCATAGTAAAGTAGAGGCTTTGAAGTTCCCTAAGATTATTTTCTAAGGTGGCAACCTCATCATATCTGCAATCATCTCTAGCCTGTTTAATGTAAGCTCGAAGATTGCTCATTTGTTCGATTATTGGGTCCATAGAAGAAGGCATCTTAGGTGTAACATTGGAAGGTCCCCAACCTTGTGATTGATTCAGTACCACTACCGGCTACGCTAACAATGCAGTTAATTTATATTAATATAGAGACTGATGTTTTAACTGTTTTCTTTTAGAAATAAGTATTACCTTATTTTCTCTCAAAGAAGGTCGGACTTCATTACTCCATGTTTCTCTTTTACGTAACTCCTTTGATTTCTCCCTTGGCTCTTCTTCTAGCTGTCTTTCATACTTAATTCTGGCTTCTAATCGTTTCTGGCGTTCATTTTGCAATTCTCCGTATTTCTCTTCTGAAGGTAAAGCCTGTACAGTCAGTAATTCCTCTTTTAGAAATATCATTGCAGATACCCTGACCATCTGATGCAGTCGGAGTTCTTGCTCCTGTGGAGGATTCTCCACGCATCTGATTCCCAGTACTGAAATTCTTTTGCTAATTATATCTATATTTTCACCCAGTTTTGCAATCTTAACTCTTAAAGCCTGTGCATCTTCTAAATTATATGTAGATTCTCCATCACTGAAAAATTCATCCTTTTATACATATGAACTGCAACTTGCAATGCTATTATATACGCGTTCATTTTATGATGTTTGTGTAACTAGTACCTTAAAGATTCCCACATTTTGTTGTACATTTTCACATACTGCGATGCTTCCTTCATGTAAGTTTTCATCTTCTCATAAAACTGACACACAATTGGTTTATCAAAGTGTTTTGCTTTTTGTTTTTCTCTTGCATCGAGTAAATTTGCACAGTGCATGCAAATTCTGAAGTGATGTTCTCCAGCTGCCGAGTCATTGACTAATGACAGAACACTATTTAAACTACCACTGGATGGCGATCGAGCTAATTTTGTAAGACCAATACCAGCACGTACTAAACGTTCGGAGATTGGTCTTTCAGTAGTAGGAGACACAGCAGAATCATCTTGTACAGATACAGGACTTGTCATTTTTCCTATAAGATAGTTATTGAGTTCATACAAACTGAATTTTATTCATTTACTTTATCCCCTGTATTTGGTTGCTTTAAAACTTACTTGCATTTTGCAAAGATAAAAATATTGTACAATTGTGGCACATAACAGCCCCACAAAGTCTACAATGATGTTTTCTTCTAGCAACATGAAAACTTTTTGCACAGTTGGGGCATAACTTCACATCTTTTTCATCTATCCATGGTACTATTGCGCGCTCATGTACTACATTAACAGAAAGAAACATGTTAATTTATAAAAGGTAAAAGAAAAATATACATCTTCGATACAAGGATCAATTATATCAGAGTTTTACTTTTTCTATCAACAGGATCAGCTGGTAAATTATTTAATAATTTATCTAGTCTTATAAGAAGTTTATTTGTTTCAGTAGAATATCGCTCTAGTCTTGCATTTCTTACTTCTTTGAAGTATGTGGTATGTGATTTAATTGCACCTGAAATGTTTCGTAATCAATATGCAATGTATATAATAGATACAATTTTATAAAGTCTATTGGAATATGTCTGCAGACAGTAATATATATACATATAAGGAAGCACTGTATAAATATGTGGAAGCAGAAAATACTTTTTTAATGTACATTCATACCTATTTCTTGGGGTCCCCAATTAAGTTCTGGACTACGTTGTCTATTATTTATTATGGTGGTTGTAAATGATTCTGGTATTTCATCTTGCTTTAAAATCTTCTTTTTAGCTTTGCCAAAAAGGTCTACAAATGAAAATGACTTCAGCTATTTATATTGTTGACTGAATTTAAGCAATCATTTTTAATACAAATGTATACATTTCCTTTTCATTTCTCAGTTTTACACATTCAGGGTATATATCGCTGGATTATTGTTGAATGCAATATTCTCACCTTTAAGTGATTTTAGAATTTCTGGATCATCATTATGAAAATCCTCGAAATGTTTAGTTAACTGAGTAGGAGCTTTAAACTCTGTCATACATATTGGACAAATAAATCCCTCTAACACTTTTTCGCTACAAGCCATTGTGAAACAAGGTATTCGGAAAAATTTCACTACTATCCACCGTAATTTCTTCCTATTTCATAAAAAGCATTAATCATTTGTAGGCGTTTCTTCGACCGTAGATAGGAAACGTGTTTTCCGAGCGGCCATGTTGAATCGAATCAGCTGATGGAAACGTCAAATTCTGCTTGCAAAATTAAGTTACCGAATGTTTTCCACGTTTATTGACAAAAGGTACAAATTCATGTTATAAATTATAAATGATCGATATTACATATATTTATATAGATGTGATACATAAATCTAGCTACTCAATTATAAGTTGAAAGTAACAGTTTTTATTGCAATGATTGTAGTTTCATGAAATTTTATTAAAAATGATTACAAGTTGAAGTTTCTACTACGCTGTGGCTGCATTGAATAATTGGTCTGCTAGATTCCTAAATTCGTCTGAAGCTTCACAGTGCTGCAGAAGATTCGGGTTAATCTTTTCTTCCCCATAGAATGCACCAGCAATTGCACCAGTCATGCTACCAATAGTGTCTGCATCACCACCTAAACTAATCTGAAAATAAAGATATATATTTTGTATTATATCACTATTAATACTGACTGCAATACTTTTCATATTAACAAATGATGAATGATATACTTACAGCATATTGAATTGCTCTTCTAAACGGATTTTCTGTTTGTATGCCAGTAATTGGTTTTTGTGCTCTTAAGAAACAAAATATGGCAGTTGGTACTGAATATAAAGCTGATACACTATTTCCTAATATCTGAACCACTTTTTCTTCATGTGATTCTTCACCTTCTTCCAATATTAAACTTTTCATTACACTCAGTTGTACTTTATAGGGTTGTGGTTCTGACAGACCTAAACTGTAATAAACAAACATTCATTGAACTTCTTGATAAGATAGCAAAACTGACAAATATCATACGAAATTGATAAGAAGTTTATTAACAGTTCAAGTTTACTTCAATCTGTAAATTCTAATGCTTCTAAAGAATACAGCAATTCCTCTTAGACTGGTATCTTTAAATTGTAAATCTATGTAAATTGGTTTCCAGCTGTAGACATAGTATTCTGGACAAATGTTCTTATTAATACAGTTTTAAAGCATACCCATCATCATCTATCTCTATTTGGTTCATTTTATGGATTAAATCATCAATAAAATTTATAGCGTTCAATTCTTCATTGGGATTTAATAAAAGGCTTTGTTGCACTGCTACTGCCTGCAAAGCAATGAATTCAATGACAGATTATAAGTTAAGATAGTCATTTTCACTGAAACGTAATTGTGAGATATGCACGAAAGTAATTACCTGCAAAATGGCACCATCTACTCCAACTTTATGAGTATGAGTTAACTGACTCGCTTTCCTAACAATATCTAAAAGTTTATCATAGTTCTGATAGCAGAACAATGTAATGGGTGCAACCCTCATTGCTGCACCATTTCCCCATGAACCTTGACCATTGAATTGTTCCTTTGCTGGGCTTAAAATGTCCATGAATTTGTTACCACGTAACTTTTGGAATACCTTGTTGCATTAAGATTACACATAAATAATAAATACAGAATTTTTATGTGTATTCAATTCTTGGAAAATTGGTGTCACCATATCGTACTGTTACAACAAGAGGACCATAGCCACGATTAGGCTCCTGATAGTAACTCTTGACAAATCTTTTCGCTAAATCAATAATGTCCAATTCCCCTGTGTCGATTAAAGACTTTGCCATGGAGTAAGTCATTGCAGAATCATCGGTAAACTGTATGACAGGTGCTATACAGTTAAAAAAACATACTACATATCAACACCAGTGATAATAACAAGAGATATAATAGATTAAGGATATTTATGCAAATATTGATTTTCATATTTTCCGCGTCCTAAACAGAATACGTAACACAATTTGCTTAAAATTTTATGCTTTACCTTTAAACATTGGTCCCTCCAATTTATCGAAGGATCGTTGTAAAATTAGTTTCATGCCGGTTGTTAATATTTCTTCATTTTCATAAGAACTGCCCAAGCAATCGCCAATTAAAGCGCCCAGCAGAGAACCACGAAATTTACTTTTTAACAATGATAAATCCATTTTTGCCATAACCTTCTTCTCTCGCAAACGTTTACAATCTTCAATGCCTTAGAACAGTTATAATTTGTATTTAGTCTTTCAATGGTTATCAAAACAGATGTGACGATATCAAAGAAGATTTACGCTTCGATTTTTTTAATGAGATAGATATACCGGTATCCTAGCGGCAGTTGAATCAAATTGAATCATAAATACTATATATGTATACATATACATGATATATATACCATATGTAACATACGTGGCTGTATTGAATGAGTTTCGATACTTAATTTAGATGTATCTGCAGTAAACACATAATAAGAAAAGATTAAACTTGAATCTTTTAAAACAGACCCAATGGTAAATTACTAAGTGGGAGAAAGAGAATTTGTAAGTGAAACGAATTAATGAAAAGAAATTGAATAGGTACAGAAATTTTGTAAATGGCGCTCTAATGATTCTTCTTGCTACTTCTTGCTCAGACGCCAAGGGTCATTCAGGTTCACTGCACTCTGGAAAACTATCGTTATCCTCGGCTAGCAGCAGTTCATGCAAGTTCATGTTTCAATTTCTCCCAGGCTAGGTGTAGGTAAGTTAATTAATAATTAGTTTTTTATATGTATTTAATGAGAAATCAGATAAAAAAGACCCGAGGTTCAAGTTATTAGTTAAAGTGTATGGTAATCATTGTTAAAATCGATAAGGATAACAAAATGATCTATCTTCATTTCCGTCTCCATTCACAGTATATGTATATGTATAACCCCCTTCATGCTGAGACTTGGGAATTCGTTATTATCCCCGATAAACTAACGTAAATCTAGGATAGTACCGAGATAATGGCTGTGAACGTTGCATTTATTTAGGTTTTAATGAACAGTTAGCTTAATACAGATCAGTAGAGTGTATGTGCATACGCACTAATCCGCAGGTACATACACTTAGGGTCTTTTAATTAACGTAATTTGTATTTGTATTTATTAACAAACATAAAGATCCTAGGCACAATCAGTCCATGGATCTGGGTACAAGTATAATATCTGATTTTCGTGTATAACAAGTTTAGCCTAGAATTGCATTGCACAGTACGTTTTAATATAATTTTTTAAATCGCGCGCTCTAATGGTTTGTTTGCGCCATCTAGCAACAGGAGGTTGATACTATTTGGCCAGTAGCTTGGGCCTTTTTCCGTAGATGTCGCCAAAAACGTTTTCAACCACTTTCCTCCCGCGTCAGTTAAAACTTGAATTTTCATTAAAAACATTATTAATAATCGTTAAAATAACCTCAGCTGTGGAGCTAGACCCGTAAACCGAAAACGCAATACCGCGCATACGCGTAATACCACCATAAGGACCCACGTACAGAAGCATGCGAGTACTTAATTATATTTATTTATTTCTATCAGTTATTTATTTCATCTGATTCATTTCAGCGAATCGATACTGAAGCCGACCGCCTCCCCCCACCCCCACCACCCCAATATTTTTCGGAAATACAATCGTCTTCGAGACCGAAGGAAGCCAGATTTCTCTGTATCGAAGCGTGCGGGAAGGAAGGGGATCCCGCGCTCATACAAACCACCAGTCTTTAAGGGTGGTTTTCGTCGAAAGGATCGAGGAAGTAATGTCGGGAGAGGGCGACGATTGGTCGGGGTCGGGGTAAAGCTTCTACCCGTAGAGGATGCGTGGTGGTCCGCTCAATCTCAACTCAACCCGGGCATATCCAGTCTGGCGTCGACTGTGTAGGTGCGCGGTCCGGTCCGGTCCGTTTTCGCTCTCGGTCTCGCGCGATTCTCGCCGACACCTTGGCTGACCGATGACAAACTGTCCGCTGCCATTCAAAAAGGAGCGAAGATTAATTTGCGCGATGCCGTTCGTGTGACTGGCCCTGTGTTCGTCCTCTTCGGAGGAACGCGTGCGATACTCCATCGAGCAACGATTGCGAAACCAGGGTCATCCACCCGGCGTTCGTCGAGTAGCCTCGCGAACTCCAAAGTTGCCCTCGGAATTTGTTCATCTGTGTTTTCGTGCCCGCTCTCTGCGGCCAATTCAACAACCTTCTTCGCATCTTATTGAATTTTCCCCGAGTGGAATCATCAAGCCTTGCCACCCGAACGTACGTAAGTTATCCTCAGTGTTCTTGCAACGACTTTATCAATGAAAAAACTATTCGTGTGTCCAATTGAACTGTCTGTTTATGTACTGTCTACCGAGACGAAGGTAGTCACTTGCTCGACTCCCATTCTTACAGGGTTTCATCACCTTGCATTGTACACCGTTCACTTTGTCCTGAGGATTCGTTTCGATAGTTTTCTGAAACTCTTACGAGATCTCCAGTTTTGTTTCCGGATGTGAATGACTCTATCGAGGGTTGAATGACTAAGACGGAAAGAGAAGTAAATAGAGAGGATTTCTCATTCATTCTTGATAGTCGGTTTTCAACGGCCTAGAAACGTGGTCCCTTAATTCTCTTGACCAGTATATTTACTGTATCTGTTTTTCAGTAACGGTACGAACAGCAGCACCGTGAAATCCGTAACGCTTTTTTTTCTTTCTTCCTGTTTTGCTTGTTGTTGTCCGAGGGAAACGATCTATTCCAGTGGTTTTTTTCGAGCGGAGTATTGGTTTTTCCGTGAAAACTTTCCTGTACAAATTGGATTACAATTTTTCAAGATGCATAAGTTCGATTTCAATTTAAATGACAATACTATAGTTTAAATTATATTATTCTTTTCTTTTTTAAATGTACTTTCCGCTGTTATCGAAGCATCAAAAGCAATTTAATTTGATTTTGTCTCGTAATGACATCGCGTATTCCTTCCCCCGTATGTTTGTTTACGAGCAATAATATATCCACTTGCAGCGTCGAAAGAAGAAAATGCATTGCACCGAAGAGTATGTAATCGAATCGTCGTATTGCCAGGACGAATTGCATGGATTTGATGGAAAATTGAACGAGGTGCGCGTAATTCTTGTACGCGTGGTATTCGGTTTACTTCACGGTCTATTTTTGATGGGACCGAAGCGATTTCAACATTTACCTCTGACAATGAACGCGCACACCCTGGTAAGAATCCATTATTTCGACGACATGTAATTATTGGTCAGAATTTCAATTCGACCCTCTTTCTTATTCATTTACTCGTTTGTTTACTTATTTATTTATTTATTTATTTACCGCAATTCTGGCAGACCGTGTTTGTAAAGTAATCGATAAGCTTCAAATCGTCCCGAAATTTGCTCCAAATATTTGTGGAAACTATCCCCACCGACGAATTGCTTCGGAATCTCCCCCAAATATTTGCAGAATCTCTTTTTGCAATTTCACGTTATTATTCGTTTACTACGTGTACACGCTGTACACGGTTGCCGAGTCCATGAAATCTCATATGAGGAGATATTTAATCGAATAACATTTGTATGCTCCCTCGAGACTGGTTTCTCGGCTCCTGCACGAAGCGGCGCCGGTTCTCGTTTCTTCCTTTAATTAATTCGTTCTTTACGGCAAGTGTTACACGCTCGAAGCACTTCTCGGGGTGAACTGAGTTGTAAGAAAGTAGGTAACGAGAACCGCAATTAGCGATTCGCGGTACTTATATTTGCTACGAATTCGGGAAGAGACCTTAACGAGACGAGTGTATCCAGGGGGGAGCTCGTTACGTTCCTTTGATCGATATTTTACACTGTACCACGATCGAACGCAACTCAGTGTTTTTTTTTATTCGTGTAACTTTACTCTTAGCTTTGTGCATTTACACGAGTTTTACGTTTCCTTTGGCAGGTATTCGGTCGTTCACGGAGAAAATAAAAACGGCATTTTTTTCGACTGGAGCAGTTTTTCCATCGTCTAGCAAAAACACAAACGAGCGATACTTGCTACGAATATGCGTCGTTACCGCACGAGTGCTTGTACATATACACTATTGGATGGGGGTAGGAGATCGATATATACAGTGAATTTTTATTTTTCATAGGTAGCCCGACGTGTGTGTTGCGATATCACGCGATCCGTATCCATACATAAATGTTCGAGCACACGTAGCCTCGTAACAGCGCGCGCGTGTGGTCCGAACGGGCACGTGCAGTTATACGGCTGTTTCCGCAGAAACTTGCAAAAGCAGTGCATGCGCGAATTTCCGGAATAAATTTTCGCCGGTGCGCTCAACTTCCTCTCCTTTATCGACCTTACCGGCCACACGTCGTCTTCTTTCAGGACGCCGTGGCGTCGCGAATTTCGTTTACGTAACGTATCGTAATTACAGTTATTATTATTCTTACCATTATTATTTGAACAGTTACAATTATTATTATCCTTAGATTTCGGAGTTGATCGCCCGCGGGTCCACAAGAAAGCGATCGAAATCGATCTTAATTTAACGCTAGAAAAAAATGTGGTAACAACACCGTTGTTTTCAAGTTTTGTTAATCACCCGTTGCTCGAACGAACGTGAATACAACATGTGGCTTGAATACCAACGAGGAAGTCGTGATTCTGTTAGCTTCGTGTTTGTTGCACCCGACATCGAAAGTTATGAAAATACAACACCCGTACGGGCATACCTATCATCGAACCATTATCGTTCCTGAAAGGAGTCTGCGATGCCTGTCGAATGCGTCCGGGTTTATTTTTCTTTTCTCTTTGCCTGCATGCCACGGGTATGACACTGTATTTGTTTCAATAGGCGTTAACCGAGTGACCCGAATACTCGCTTGGGACTGTTCTTACGTAATTATTTTTTCTTCTCTCGTAAAAATTACTCTCTCGTTTATATCGTCTATATCGTCTGCGAAACGATTTGCATAGAATCACCGACGCGAACATACTACTTTTCTGTCGTGAATAACCACGCAGCAGGCACCTATACATACAATATGTATACCTCTACATGTATACATGTATATGTATATGTATATATATACATACATAAATTATACAAATTGATGATAGTTATGTCGATAATTTCTGCCATTAAAAAGACACAGTGCGCCATCGGAATTTACGAGAATTAACGAGAATTTACATGTGTGCCGAATAGAATTTCCGCTTCCTACTACCGGAAGTAGAATGGGATCGTGCCGGAACAGACCACACGTGCTCTCGCGAAGCTGAATTCGATTCGATTCGAAGGAGAGTCGGCAGTTTTGTTCCACGAGTCGCCAAAATGCACCTGCACAAATATTTGATTGGCCGTGTCCGGCTTACATCTGCGAAACCAGACACGCGCGCGGGCGGCTTTAAATCCGTCATTTTATAGCGGCTTCGGCCCGGCCCGCCGGCTGTTTCACTTATCACCGGCCCGCGGATGTTTACGGGAGCACGGTCCGGCCAAATATGCAAAATACATGCCAGAAATATTGCACGATGCGCTGGCGCAAGCAACGCGTCTGGTATACCGTAGAATATTATACAAAGTGTCTGGTGAATTGTGCTCTCGTGCGAACGACGAAGCAATGGTATTGCCCGTACAGAAACGTTACAGTAAATCATCGATGAGTCTTCGATGGCTCCTCGATCCTTAGTGTTCAGACGTGAAATGAATCCGTCAATTGAAATTGTGTCTTACAACGATCTTTTTTTTTCCCGATCGTATGGTTAAGTATGGTAGAGCGATTCTACATACACAGTGTGCGTGTGTGCGTGCGTGTGTGTGTGTGTGTCTGCGCAATCGGCTCTGAGCTACGGTGTAAACGTGCGTTTTGGCACGACTTTCGAGATTCGAATCGATCTTGTGATTTTGTTCACAGCGGTACGAGCGGCCCGTTTCCCACGCGAATCACCTCCTCGCCGCGAGCAAAAGGAATACGAATAACGAAGATGAAAGCAACGGGGAGGGTCGAATCAGCGTCGGTGTGACCGTGAAAGTGTCCGCCGGAAAGGGAAGTGGAGAACGGCGTGCGATTCCCCGCGATAAGGATCTCTGTTGCGATAGGAAGCGAAGGATCGCGAAGGAATGGCTACGCCGCCGGACTCGCCAGGACCGGAAGAGGCACTTTTCGACTTCGAGAGCTCGAGGACGAGGCAACAGACCACCAGGCCGGTCGCTCTCGAGGAACTGCTACGACAAACAAAATTTTCCAGACAGGAAATCCGGGTTATGTACCGAGGTTTCAAGCAGGTGAGTTTTCGACAACGAAATATATGGTACAGTAGTATAGCTGTCGAGTAGGACCCAGGCGCTATCGGAAACGTTCACCAGACAAGTAACTATGAATAATCGATGTTAATCGAGAACCATCCCTTGGACAAATCTTTCACTCGAAATGCTGGCCGAGAACGGTGGTGTAAAACTGTGTGCGTGCTTAAAGCTAAAAGCAGATCGTTTCCTAGTGGTTTCTACATTCGTTTACCTGTTTAACCTTTTCCAGGAAATCGATGCGAGAAAGTGGAACCGTTCGCTGGTTCGTCCGCGAAGGCGCCGCAATCGTGGCGGTGGCGGTGGCATTGGCATTTTGCAAAACGGTAATCGGCGTGACACACATTTAGGCTGGGGCAAGAGCATGAAAGGTGGATCGATATCGAATCGCGGCGGAGCGTGTCTCTGTGTGTTTGGCTGCGAAAAAACAGTAGACAAGCCGTGTTATATCGCGAGCCATTCACCGAGATCCCTTATTCATCGCGGACTATACTGCTACTGGCCGTTAGATAAATGATAAATTGTCGTTTCTCTCGGCTCGGCTCGCGCGTGCATTTTCATTCGCGTAAACGCACGCTCTTGACACAATTGTCAGACTTGGCTCGAGTGCCGGAACAGCAGCGCGCAATTAAAACACCTGAGAAACACTCGACAAGTCCGACGACGACCAGTCTTTTCGTCGTTGCTGCGCTGGAACGCTTTCGAGCACGTTGGCTGTTAGTTCCCCGCCGTTTAAGCGATAAAGTGCCCCTTCACGAGGCGTCCGCGATCGAAACCGTCCAAATTTAACCCTTCGATTCCTTCTTCGCGCCTCATTGTGTCTCGTCCTGTACACTATAAACCCGGTGAACCCCGAATATCCTACGTGAAAGATTCTTCTTTATAGGTCGTGTCGCATTTGTCCGTTTTGGCAATGGACAAACATTCGTCTCTCGAAAGCGCACGTTGTTGTATCGACCTGCCGGTTACACGTGTATGTACACCTCCGACATTTACGTTCGAAACGATCTGGCCAGCAACCTTGAGGGCAACCTCGGTTCTCGAGCCAACCACCGCCGCCCTCGTAACGCTACGGTAAATATTTCACGAATGACGCCGCGCGAGACTGGCACATGGCACACGGGTATTTCGCATTATCGTGGGTAGCTTTATCCTCTCGGCCGACTCGTTTCTTCGCGAGAATGACGTGTACATGCGTCGCGCAGGAACAAGGACAAGTTCGTCGCGGAAATCCCGGCTATTATTCACACGAATTATTCGCGTGCTAAACATCCACCAGGGTACTCGGCTAAGAACCGCCTTGATATCGGGCTGTTGCGTATGAAACGCCGCGGCGTCTTTACCGGCTCTCGACGTGAAATTCCGAATGAATTTCATTCGAATCCACTTTTCGCTCCAATTAATCTCAAGTGAGATCAGCGGGACACGTTTAACGCCGGAACTAATAATAGCTTGGTGAAACGCGGGGCTTCGGGGGTTTTATACCGAAGCGTGATAATATTATAATTGGTAATTCCCATTTCGTGAAAGAGAATCGGCCGATAACTAGGATGGTATGTAAAAAGAAACAGAAATTCCGACTTTACTCTCGGTAGTTTGCAGCCGTTTCGTGAAAAGACCCACCCGTAGGGGGTTAACGAGAACCATGAGCGGAGAGAGTGGCTCTCCGGTCAAGAATCTGTCCGTTCTACAGTTCTAGGACCCACTAGCCACCCCTTTGCTATCCAGTTCGTCCCGTCGTTTTGCAAAATAGTTTTGTCTCTGTCGTTCGTAATTCTTTCTTTCTGTTCTTTTTACCTTTACCACGCAGAGATTCGGCCTGAAAATATTTCATCGTGTCTCCTATCGGTGCGTTGTCACGTCACGTAACGATAACCACCCCTAACGAGTCGATCGCGCGCCACGTCAGCCACGTGGCGCGTGAAAGTTCGAAGGTTCGTTGAAATTAGAGGGTGTCGAGGGGGACGACAGGGACGGGAGTTTGTCGACTTATTTATCTCGATCGATCGTCGCGATACTACGTACCCGGTATATCTACAACACCGGTAACCCGAACGCGGGGCTAGGGATCTCTCTTTATCCTCCCGAAACGTCAAGGTCCCGGCCTCGACGCAACCTACAAGCTGTTTTTCTTCGATCTCCACCGGATGAACCGAAACTCTAGTGTTATATGCCCTTTAAATAGATTCTGGTTCGAAAGGGCTTACGAACCGCTCGAACTCTTTGCGCTTTCATCGAAATAATGTATAACTTGTGTTGAAAAGTCTGCAGCGGGCAAAGAACCAGGGTGAAAGGGGACAACGGAGGCTCTTGTGCGAACGAAAGACAAAAGACTAGAGGAGGACACACCCTCGGTGTCGCAAATGTGTACGGGTTTCTTGAAAAATTCACCGTGGAGAGGCTATTTAGCGTTAGGCCTTGGCACGTGTCAGACTAGGTAAATACGTGTACCTATCGTCTTAGATTTTTTGTGGACGCTTAAACATCAAGATGACGATACTCTTCGCTACACATGTACATATTGTTATTCGACACATGCTGCGGGACATTAAAGAAGGACGATGAATGCCGTCCGGACAGAATAGGGCTGTAGTAGGTTATTGCCATAGACATAAATATCGAATTTGACAAAGAACGGTCGACCACTCGGTGGTTCGCTTAATATATTTGCCTTAATGTGCAGCCAAAAATGGGCCACACGAACGATTTATCTTTCGGGAGAAACGACATCATCCCCTATCCGTCCGTATTGGACGCAGTGCGAAATCCTCGCTCGCAAGAACAGAAAATTTTGAGTTTCCGTGACAGTTTCACGGGGTGGAACGTGAAACACGAATTTGTTCACGGTCGGTGCTCGACATTACCCTTCGTTCACGGAAACAGGGACAAGGGGCCACCGATGAACGTTTTGCAGAATTAATTCACCGGAAAATACTCAACTGTTCCTTGAAACGCGAAATCGTTCGTCATCGTAGATATTCGATCGTGATCCACGGAAATCTGATTGCGTTCGCCGTCTTGTCTAGTCAGAAGTGAATTCCTAGATGTCGAGTTGCACGAGAAGACGCAAAATCTAGAACAGAATTGCGTTCCTTTCAGTCTGAAATGTGTTTCCGCGGGGGCCGTAAAACGTAACGTCCATGGAAGACGATAAAATTTTATGTCTTTGGACAGACACCGAACAAGAGATCTCCGCATGATCGTTTACACGAAACAGGAATACCGATGATACCCGGAAAGGTTATTTGCTCGAACAATTATACTGTTACATCTTGGCACGAAAAATTCCATTAAGATTTTTCTTTTAAAAGCATCACGATTCCTCTTTGATTGTCGGTGAAAAATTCTAATCTATCGAGAGCAACGAGTAAAAGCAACGTTTGTTTCTGGTAAAGCCGAATGGAGATGAGATGGAATATGGAATCCGTTTCCGTTTCGACCAGAAAAACAAAAAGATTGGAAAATCTTTGATGTATTTTCCTTCGTCTCGTTCGTATTAATAATGGAAAAAGTCTTACCTCTGGCCTACTTTCCTCGCAATTTACCGTGCTCTCGACGACTCTCGCATAAGTTTCTCGAAGCAGCAGCAGCAGCAGCGGCACCCTATTTCTGCTGTTCTTTTTTTTTCTTTGTCGAGCCTTTCATTAGCCCTTCTCCCATTACGATGATCATTTCCATTCCACCGGAGGTGTTTGGATAATTTTTCTTACGACAACACGACAGAAGGATGATATCCTTGAACACGTGTATCATTATCGAATCCTTATGCAACAAAGATTAAACTGTTAACTGTATATGTATCTCTGTCCATTCCTTTATTTCGAACGTGCGCCGATTCGTTAACAACCATGACAAATAATAAGTTACAATATATAAAGTTGATTTTCATTCTCTTTTCTCCTCTGTTCGTTACCTTATACCTGCGTGGAAAAGATATACGCGCTAGTCCGCCGACCGAGGAATCTCTTCGTTCTCTCTGTGCCTGTCTCCTTGTTCCTGTAAACAGTCGGTCGTTCGATTATCTCGCCATGGGACCAACCGACCATCAATGCTTTCCTTACCTGAGTATGCTCTCGTAAATAGAGTATTCCGATTGCGCGGAGAAATTACACATTCGAGCGTCAAACCGAACAATGAACGGAATGCTCTTGAATGCAGCCTCGAACATCTCGCCGACTGAAATCGCTCGTTTATCATTTTCCATCCCCGTCTACACGCACGCACGCACGCACGCACGCACACACACAAAAGCACACCCAACCCCGTATCATTCGTTCCCTTTATCGACCGTGTAGTGCCGTGTACACGTCCACATCGAACGCGTACCCGAATAAAAGGACATTGGCGGCTCCCAACGCGAGATAGAGTATGCAAATCAACAGTCGAGACTAAAAGGAGATTGCGTGTAATCGATCGAGTCGAAAAAAAGTGTCGAGCTCGATGGTTGTCTCACCTGGTTTGCCGAAATCGTTGTTCGATACATCGAGTTTAAACGTTTTCAAGTTGCAACCGGACCTCAATACCTCGCACAGCGCGGCGCCTCCGTCGGCTTTTATTCCGCAGCCACTCAGGTTCAGTATTTCCAGCCTGTCGGTTCGCAGCAGATCTGAAACGGATTTAGGATTCCTTCTCATCGATTCGAAAGTCCTATCCGATCGGACGAATATAAATTATGACGTTGCTTGGCCGTATTCAGTATTCATGGTAGGCAAAAGCTACTAAAAGAAGGTGGTACATATCTCATCGAAGCTTTGGTTCAGACTCGACGTGGATTAATTTCGGATCTTGAACTGTCTACTATCTATAGAATATCGATGCGAAAGAGAATTCTGTGTGGTATTTACAGGCGCACAGGTGCATTACTCCTTCGTCCAGCAGGGGGTTCAGTCTCAGATCCAAATGCCTCAGTTCCGGCTCTTTCTTGAGTAATCCGTGCACCAGACCAGCAACTCCTCTTGGTCCTATGTCGTTGTTCACCAAACGCAATACTTGCAGATTATGCATCGACAGGAATTCTCCGATGGCAAATGCACCCTTGTCCGCCAGTTTGCAATGGGAAAAGTCTATCTCCACTATCTGTTATCGCAAAAATATAATACGCAACGATAATGTTTCGTCGTCGAACAAAATTCCCGGTTCACAATTTACACATCGGGCAATCGTTCACCAACATTGTTATTCGCCACCATTCCTTGAAGTAGAGCAGCGACGCGAGGCTGGTCCAAGCTGCTCTTGCAAAGGGTGAACTTGGTCAATTTCGGGCAGGCCTTGACAGCTTCGCCGAGCTCCAGGCAATCCTCGATGGAGAACCTTTTTCGCCCAAATCCGTGCATCAGACATTCGTCTAGTTGCCGTGTTTCGATCGCGAAAATCATCAAGAGAGAAACGACTCACTGAAAGTCCCGCCACTCGAATCCGTCGTTCATGTAAATCACGCCAAAGTTTACGTAGATCTCGGCGAGGCGAGGCAGTTTCGGAAGAACGAGTGCCATGGGAATGTGATGAACAATGTCCTCTTCCGCGTGGCAGGGATCATCACCCTCGTCCAAAGATTTCTGCTTTCTGTGAAATTTAATCAAACGATGATAATATGTCGTTTACTTGGAATTTCTCAAGTAGGTATTATAGAAATTCGGGACAGGCGTAAAAGAGCTGTTTTTATAGGGGCATCAATGAAACTGAAACTAAGAAGGAGTTTCGAATTTCGGAGGATATTGCTCGCCTGGTCGGTCGAAGGGAACGGATCCTTATCGCGTGCACGTAATTTCTTACGAGACCTATCATCTTCTCGCACTCCTCTCTCTGCGACTCGAAGAAACTTGGCTCGAGGCTCTCGAGGTACTCGCAGAACACACCCTCGCAGTACCGTCGTCGCCATGAATTCCCGTGGTCGGCCAGCTCGTTCGTCTCCCACCTACGACAATCGTGTCTCGCTACGAAAGTACGACCAGTCCAACCAAACGCATTATTGTTTTACGCCTTACGGGAATTCAATATTTCGAGCGCAGTCTCGTCCTTGAATAGTTTCGAGTGGTGAAGGCCGAAACTGTTCGCGACGCGTGTAATCGTATCGATAGCATTTTGCACAAAAGAAGAAATTCTTTAAATCGTTGTACCGCGAGTAGAAAATGGTCTTAGAATTGTCTTGAACCGAATAACACCGATAGTATCGAATGTAATCTGTGCTAATGGTTACTTGTCCCTCGAGCAACGTTCCCAGTAATGTTCCTCCTCGATCTTCCGAATAGTCAGCTCGAACGGCAGATCAACGGGCAGGATTTCTATCAACTTGTCCCTGTCCTCGCTAGTCGGCAGATCTTCCATTATCGGGTGGTTATCCTTCCACGCGACAGCCAACACGTGGAGGGCTAGGGTTCGTAAGCTTGGAACCCTATCCACGTCCCATAGAACATCCTCCGATCGAAGTACCCGTTCCTTCTCGCTCGATAATCGTGTTGTTTCGTACGAACATCTTGTCAACGAATCAATTGATCCAATTGTTATTAAAAGTCACATCATAATTGAAAGATTTCAATTGGAGTTGAACCTTCGGTACAGGTCATAGATAACGATAAAAGGGACCACCTTTTCTGATGTAAAACTTTTACTATTTATACACAATATATAAAGCATTACCTGTAAGCTTCGAAGACGTTGTTGGGTATACTGTGCGGAATCTTCATTTTTCTAGCTTTTCTCGTGTATCCTCGGATGTATCGGTGTTTACTTTATCTCGCCCCTTTCACTTCTCACGGGTATGGTGTGTATTTCCTCTCTGGACCTCTGGGCGACGCCATTTAACACTGGAAAGTTACTATCTTCAGAGAATCAACTTTCCGTAGCGATGCTATAAATTTTCCGTTAAACTAGTGTTTTTTGATTATTCGTATTAACTATTTTCTGTACAGGCTGTTCCTAAACTTTACGAGCAATTCACTAGAATCTTTCGATAATCTCAATGATGAAAGTAAAGTAACTGTATTCGAAGTTTAGGAACAACCGGTACCAAGCAGTCAGAGTTTTAAAGATGATCCACCCATCTCCGAATCAACCTCTAATTCGTAACACGTTGTCTCGGTATGAATGGTACATTCTCGATTAATCCCTTTCAGGAATGTCCGGAGGGTGTGGTGCACGAGGACTCCTTCAAGGACATCTATGCAAAGTTCTTCCCCCATGGCAGTGAGTTACAATCAAGTAAAAGTGCCTGTTTTCGCGTGATTAGTTAACGGCTACTACCCTACGAATTCCAGACTCCAGCCTCTACGCCCATTACGTGTTCAAGGCCTTCGACGTGAACTGCAACGGTGCCATCAGCTTCAGGGTAATTTCTGTTCCCTTTAAATCGGTTTGCTGCCTGTCCGCGATCCTTTTTCTTCTTCTAACATACTTTCGCCGGTCTGGATTAGATTGAAAACCCTGTGCTGTTCACAGTTTTTTTGCAACTTATGTACATCTATACAATTTTCCTATCGTCTGACGCAGCCAGCTTCCAACAATAGGTAAAAAGGTTTCTTATCGTCGTTTACATTCTCTTTCCTATCATCAGCCGATAAAACGGATCCCGGTATCGTGTGCGCCGGTGTTTACAGACGCGTTATGGGTTATGGGTCCCCAGCGAGTAGCGAGGCGCACGAAATCTTACATACATACATACATACAGAAAATATGAACAGTACATACATATGTGTACCCTAGATACATACATGCATATCTGGCGGAACGTTACAAGCGACGGTAAAAAGTCATTTTTCGCGCAGGATCTTCTGGTTACCTTGTCCACGCTGCTGCGGGGTAGCATCTACGAGAAGCTACGATGGACATTCAAGCTGTACGACATAAACGGAGACGGTTGCATCACAAGGGGCGAGCTGGGGGAGGTTGTGACGGCGGTACACGAGCTTATGGGCAGGCGACATCACGCGGAGGAGGAGAGAAAGGCAAGGGAACAGCTGGATAGGGTGTTCAAGAAACTCGACCTGAACCAGGACGGTGTAATAACGATCGAGGAATTTATCGAGAGCTGTTTGAAGGTACGACGCGTCTCATTTTACTCGTGAAACTCTCGAAGATTCTGCCACGTTTAAAATGTAGGATGGGAATGTAGCCCCGGGATCCGAAGAACCCATTTCGACGATATTGAGGGTCGTTTGTCAAGCGAAGCCTATAATACCCGATGTTCCGTGAGCCAGGCTGTTACGCGTATTGTTTTCTGGCGAACGGATTTCTAACGGCCCGAGAAGATTTCAGAGAGATTCTTGGACGGTGTTTGAAGACCCGTTTCCTGGTCCCCGCGCGCGATGTTATGTATATGATAATAAAGTTAAATCACGGAACACGGATACCATTCTCTCGCGAGACTAAACTCGCGTAGCAAACGATTGAAACGAGTTCGACGGCCAACTATATGTACATACATACATACATAGAAATATGCTCGAGAACGACTTCCACACCACTGAGGATATCGGTGTTCCTAGGACGACGTGATCACACGATCGTTGGCCATGTTCGATTGCGCGCTTTGATCTCCGGCCAAGGAAGAGCCGCCGGCAGTGACCACGACGCCGCCCACACCGCTCTCCGTTACGACGACGACGACCTTCTCGCAGTCCCAGTCGCCTTCGCCACCGCCACCGTCCTACTCTCTGCTGCCACCGATCCCACCGCCTTTGCCTTCGCAACCGCCTCCGGGGTACACCGTTCAGGATCAGGAACTGTACATGCTCCTGGCGGCACACTGGTGGAATCAACCGGAGGCTCCGCTCTTCTGCTAAGGGTAACACGTGCCCGGCCAGGGAAATCTCTTTCGCGGTGGCCTCATCCTCCTTCGTGTTCCTTCCGTCACATTCTTATTCGTTCCTTTGCTTGATCCGTTCAGATTCGAACGTTCGATTGGTGGGACACATCTTGTTGTTTTTTTTTCAGGGCGCGACGCGAACTCGACCGACGACGAGACATTGCGGATTCCCTGGCGACGAGGAGATCGCAGCTGCCATCGAGCAATTTGCTAAGAGTCTTGCGGGTTCAAGAGTTCAAGTATATACAGTTTGTTCGTCGGGGGAGCGTGAGGAACGAATAATTTCGAATTCTCGAGGAAGAAGCGTTTTATGTCGGGCGAAGCGAACCAATCCGGGAGTTCGGACTACGGGAGTGTACCTACCCCGAAGCCGAGGTATTAGATAACGCGTTACGTCAATTGCCGGAGGTCGTTTCGGTGTTGTCGGTCGAAACGTATCTCATGGAATCAATTTATCACCGAGAAAAGACTAGAGATGTAAGACGCGGAGATACCAGTCAAAGTAGGAAGAAACTAAGTCGATTCGATGTACATACATAATACGACGCGATACGCGTCCAGAGGCGAGCGATCTCGATACAATATCGTCGAGGTCCTCTGAGCAATCGAAGCGAATATTTGACATTCTATCGTGTTCCGTGACGTCGCCGAAACGTTCAAGACGAGGTGTAACCGATGATTCGATACGAATGAGCATCCGGTCTTACACGAGTCCGTGCCAAATCCCTGCAGAAACAATTTCCTTTCTCTTGGAAGCGTCGGTAGTCGTTGGTATACATATACATACATACGTACGTACGTGTATAAGCTTCGTTTCGTTGATGTACTCGATCCGTAGCCATGATCAAGATGCAGGACGGTCGAAAGTTTCATGATATAATTGCTTGCATGAAACAGACATACTCTTATATATTTAAAGTTTCTTCGTGACAGCTTGTTCCGCTGTCGCGGTCTGTTGGAATTGATATTATTCGGGAAATCGACTCGACAATTATATCACGAACTGGATACACCTTGTACCCTGTCGTCGAAGATCAAGAAGCGATCGTCGACGAGCGGAAACGATCGACTTGTTTTGCGTTGTTCTTCGGCCGAGAACAGTGTGTCCTCCGTTGAGCCGTAGAAGGCCGAAAGTATTCGCTTCTCTTTCCAGACAATCGTTCCGCGAGTTCCCATTTAGGAGGAGTTGTCTTCGTTGATCGATGTTCAAGAAGTGATCGTGTACACAAGAACCACGTGTGTGATAGCTCCGTCAACGGTGGTTGGTCTTCTGTTACCTATGAAAATCCCCGTATACCGGGCTCAATTGTTTTCGAGAACGTTTCTAGGGAATATCCGTAGGCGTGTAAGCGAACCGAGAATCAATTTTCTAAGCGTCGATTGTTAACAGATTTAAAACCGTAGATCTTATAAGCGAAGAGATGAACACTCTTATTGTTAGGTAAAATTTAGTCTTCGTCGAATAGGATCACGTTATCGCTCACCGGCAATGAGAACACCAAAAACCGCAATAATCATTAAGAGAACGAGCGTTTCGTGTGTTTCGTTGCATCTTAATTAGGTAGTTTATCATAGATTATCAAAACGTAATCTAGCGATTAGGTAGTGACTCGAAAGCCGTGATCGAATGATTCTTGGCCAGCCGTTTAGAGCCGTGTGTCCGACTTGTCTGTTGTTTCGTCCATTGCGTCGACTACATTTCCGTCGGTATTTACTACACAAAACCTTTCTTCGAGTCTATTCGACGCGCACCGATAATATTCGAAATCGATTATCGAGGACGATAAGAAATTCCGAAAGACCGAAGTTACCTCGTGGATCGCCGAAGATCGTTGGCTAGTGATTTCCATTTTCATCCCAAATACACACTTCGATGTAGCTAACCGAACGAAGTTAGAGTCTCCTCGATAAGAAGAATTCGTTGACCGTGTTCACCTGTTCGAGGCACCGTTAATGTCACTTGTTAACCGGCGATTCCGTTCGATAGGTTGCCAGGCGCGTCCTTGTAGCAACGGCTAACAAGTAAGCGTACAGATGTCACTGTGGCGCGTGATCTTGCCGGTAGGTTAGTTAGATAGGCCGTAGGAATCTTTAAAATACAAACGGTTTTATGTTATTCCTGTTTAGGACACGAATTTTGACAGTTTTGCAAGTTTACGAGTAGATCCAGAATAAAATCACTTTCGTCTATATGTATAAGTGTTTGGTAGGGAACGAACGTTGGTGAATCTCTGAAACTTGAGGCATGTCCGGAACCATTTCGTTTCAACACCTCTCGAACGCTTGTGCACCTTTGCGACACCTTCGTGTCTCCTCCTCCGTCGCACGTTATCAAACACGGTTGATGGCCAGCGATGGGATAGGTAATCGGCTATCTGTCTTTCGACTAACAATTCAAATTTTCTAATGAATATAACATAACTGATTTTTTACGAAGAACCATCACTGTCCAGGGCAACACAAGCCTAAAAGTGGTCCCAAGCAATACGAGGTGGAATACTCGAGCGTTCCATATACATATGTATGTATGTATGTACATATAAAATGCTTTAATTACTATAAAATATAAAACAACGGTTCTATCCAGAGATCTTTTGCTAACATCAAATGTATACAGGGTGTCTATAAAAGTATTTACTATAAAAGACGAATATACATATACTTCAGACTGATATAGTCCGATCTTCGAACGATCATCTGCGACATTCCAAACGGTCGGACGAGTATCGTTCCCATCGCCGGCCGCAGTTTAGTCGAGGGGTCAGTCAATTGAAACCGAGATCTCGCCCTCGAGAGTGTTGTGCCGTTAAGAATCGAATTGCTGCGACCAAAAGGTCAGTTCGATATTATTAAAAGAAAAAAGGATCCGCTTCTCGAAACATTCTGGTTACATAACAGCTGAGCTTTTGTCGTGGCGGCGAACCGGAAGCGTCGTCGTTCCCTCCTCTTTGAGTTCAGAAGAAAACACGCAGATCCTTCCGGAGACTCTGCGCGTCGCGTATTCGATCGAAAATGTTACACGATTTTTATATGTTTTCTATGAAAAGAACCGAAAAAAAAAGTTACGCTACGAAACAAAAGTGGACCCTAGACGGCAAAACAACGAATGTTATACATATACGTATTGACACTTTTTCTACCCGCGCGTGATCGAACAAAAAGAAAAAAGAAAAAAAAAGAAAAAAGAAAAAAGAAAAAGAGACCATTCCGGAAGCCGGAAGCCTTTCGTTGTACGATTCGCGCAACGACTCGTCGTGCCCATTTAACTCTGCCGAGATCGACCGAGATTTCGATGGTGTTTGGACGAGGTACAAATGTGAAACTATAGACGATCTCGCTAGGGTTAAGTTGAACGGCTCCGAAAAGTGTGTTTGTTGCTTGTGATTTACGTTGTCGATAGAGTAACCCGGGTTATTAACGATACATGCGATATTTATGGCGCGAGAACAACACGAGAAGGGAAAATTACTATTGACGCGACAAACTGCCATAAGCTGGAAAATCCTTTCTTAGCTACTCGCTGAACATTACATTAAAGAGTTACATAAATATGTGTCTTTCGTTTTTGGTGGTTGAAAAGAGAACATAGTCTAGACATTAGTATACTTACAGTAAATAGAAATGGCCACGAATAATCGTGTGGACGTTGAGCAATGATAATAAAAATCAATATTTTCGTAGGCGAATCATTCGATGCAGCGCTTGTTCCTCGGTACATAAATCGGGTAATTTAGAGATACATATCGTGCGTGCTTGTTGTTGGTCGTTCGAACTCGGAGCAGCCGTGCAATTCGCGAGGTTTCTTAAGTTTAAGGTCTCGTCGCGTTCCCGTGTCTGGAAATCAAACAGATCTGCGGCGGCAGTACCGGTTGCGCATACATACATTCATATACGTATATGTACGTATGTATACCGAAAACATAAATTATCGGTGTAAAGCGAGAGCGATAGAGCGTAGTTGTAAATTGTAAATCGAACAGGAAAATCTAGTCAATTGAGATCGTTAGAGGTAGTAACGTAGAATGTAATTAACCGATCGGACTTAAGATCTGACTCGTTGAACTTCGTGTGAACCAGAGCTGCTTCCTGCCCACGATTATGATGCACGTCCGTTCTTCCTTTTTCGCGCCCGTAATTATTTCGATTCGGCATCGAATCGCCTCTGTTTACCCGATCGACGCGACGACTATCACAGTCGGTCAGAAATATCAAAATCGATAGACGAGAAAAGTAGTATCTAGACGGCACACGAGTGAACGAATCAAAAGTTTGTTACGATAGTCGAGTAACAAGTAGTACAAAGTGTCGGTTATAGTTGGTAGACCAGACCGCGATACAATAATTATTAAGCTTAACAGCGGCACCTTTTTTATGACGGACCCGTAATAGAATTAATTAGAGTCTATATGTATAGATGCTCCGCGGAGTGCGTTAATCGATTCTCGTACTGCCAAATTTCTCGATAAGCCCGGAAACAGACACGTTTTGCACGCGAAACTGATTGTCAGCCGAGTCTATACATATACGCGGAACGCTCGCGTGTGTAAAAGGTGAACTCGAGAACAGACAGCCGGGACACAAGTATTCCTCGTAGATCGATCAGATCAAATCGTCGTTAACGTGATCCGTTGAATTTCTCCAAGTCTGGTACACTACGCTACGTGTCGACTCGAGGCTTTCCCTCCCAATTATATTGTACATACATACGTGTTACAGTTATAGAGGTTCTCGAGTGGACGCGCAGCTTCGGTTCAGTCTACCACTCAAACGGTTCGGCACGCGTTAAAACTCGGCCCCCTCCGTTCTCTGTTACACGTTATACGTTACACGTTACACGTTACACGTTACAC